ACGTGGATTCTCTGATCCATCCCTTGGCCAAATTGTCGTCGATATATTCTTTGAGCGTCTTTAGCTCATCGGCTGACATTGAATAAATTGGGGTGTGCACAGGCATCTTGCCTTCCTCCAATATTATTTCATGATCCCATGGCTTGTGGTCTGGCAAAGCCTCATGGATCCCTGGTTCCTTGAACACATGTTCGTATTTCTTGTACTGTTCTGGTATCATAGGCTCTTCTGCCTTGATTGCGATTTCCTGCCGTGTCGTTGGCTTCTGCATTTGTAGAGGAGGTGTACTGGCCTTCGCTCTTAATGGAGGACCCTGGACTGGGTGTCCTACGTCACCGAAGTTGTTCGCGTTCAACTCCCCTTGGCGCGTGTTACGTCTCGCGGACGCCTCTAGCGTGTCTCCTTGACCGCATTTGCACTGATCAAAGGTCACTGTCTCTTGTGACCAATCTATCTTAGGATTGTGTGCCTTCAACCATGGCATCCCTAAGATGATCTGTTGTTGGCCCAATGGCACAACGTCAAGCTGTATAACCTCTGAATGTTGGGTTATGTTCATTTGTACTGGTCGTGTCTCCTGTGAAACGTTCCCGTCAGATCCTGCTAGTTGTCCGTCAACTAACTGCAATTGGTAGGGTTTTTGTTTCTTCTGGAGTGGAACTCCCAAGTACTTTGCAGCTTCTGGTGCAATAAAGTTTCCTGTAGCCCCTGAATCTATCATGGCTTGCTGTATTTGTCCGTTTATTTTGACCTTGCAGTATATCTGTCCTGCTTGTCCTGTAGCATTCAATTGCTGGGTAACTTGTTTTTTGTCTGTTTCGTTGGATTGTTGGTTTCTTGTCTTTCTTTTCTTGGGGAACCATCCGGTTGCTTCTTTATCTGATCGATGGATTCCGCAGAATTCATCATAGCAAGCAGTCCAGCTCATCATCGCGTGATCTGCTGGTATCTCTTCCTTAATACATTCTTCCGTTACCGATGGTGATGGGGTTCGGTAGTACTCCTGTTCCCACAAGTCTACTGCATTCATACCCTCTTGGTTTCGCGGTAACTCGTCCAATAATTTCCGGAATTCTTCACTGGTGAAGGTCTCAGTTTCTTCGGTCTTAGCTGGATGTTCCTGGGATACAAAGGTAGCGTTAAGTTGGCCTTTGCCGAACTTGGGTTTGAAGTTGCCTTTCTTTCCTCCTGTCTTCTTACTTCGGCAATCCGCTGCCCGGTGCCCTGCTTTTCCACATTCAAAGCATAAGTTGTTTTCTCGCCTTCGTCTTTTCTCTGGGTCATCATTCCCGTTTCTATGGTGCGTAGCGTCTAGTTCCATAGGGTCCCCGTAACTCTGTGTACTGTAACGTGGTCTATCCTCATTCTTACGGTAGCGCCCTTGCCTATGATTTGTCTGAGGCTTGTATGATCGTTGGGTTTGTTTGTACCTGTATAGTCGGTCATCGGCATCGATGGAGCTTTTGATTAGTCCGTTCAAGTCATCGTCCTCCCCTTCCCTATCAAGTTCCAAACGTACTTCTGGTTTGAGTCCTTTACGGTAATGACTCATGATGGCGACCTTGTCCCATTTAGTTGTCCCCGCATATCTTCGGAACTCCGTAGCATACTTCAATGCCGATCCTGTCTGCTTGAGGTTGAAGATCTTATCTTCCGCTACCTCTAGCTCATTGGAGTTCCCGAAGATTCTACGAATTTCTGTCTTAAATCCTTCAAAACTGTTGAAGATTGTTCGAGTGGGTTGCATGCGATCCTGTTCGTCATGCTCGAAATAGTCTCGCAAATATGGTTGAATCCACTTGCTTGCTTCTCCTCTGAGATATGATACAGCCCATACACTCTTGGATTCCTTTTTGGTGAACTTGTCTTCGTTGAATCTGAAGTAGATTTCAAGTTGTAAGAGGAAGGTGTCGAGTTCCTGTCGACTTCCTTGGTATTTGTCTGGTAAGGCAATCTTGAGTGTTTCGTTGATGGTAATTTCCTTGGGAGCGTCGGTCATCTCGACATCGTCGGTGTCGGGTGCTTGTGCCTGACTGCTCGCGGATGTATTGGTGGGTGCCATATCGTCGGTTGGTATTGAATTGGTACTTGAAGCAGAAATGGTGCTCAAAGTGTTACGGGAGCTGCCTCTAGGGTCACGTGGAAGTGTCTAGAGATCTCTCGAGGTGGTTTAGACTAGACTTCAAGTAGGAATTCAATAAGGTTGTAACTGGTTGCAATTCTCGTAACTATAGTAATGAAACTAATGATTGTTCTTGAGCACGAAGCTCTACATTGTAATGAAACCCATTCCCTTATATAGACCTTCGTTCCTTGTTGTCCCATTGATCCCATCGTGTCCCACCAGGTGGGAGCAGTGGGATCCAGTGGGAATCTCTAATCCCGTGACTTTCTGATCAGGTGACTCGGTATGTTAGATGTCGTCGTAACAGAAATATCTTACAAGAAATATATTAATATAGTATTTAATATCCTATTAATATATTTATAGCTATTCTATATAAATAAAAGGAAAAGTCAAACCTTTTAAAAAATATTTATAATATACTAATTCAAATATATAACACTTTATATTAGTATATAATATTATTATGAAATATTAATTTTGATATTATCTTATATATTAAATAATACATTACTAATTATAATTGAAGAAATAATAACTCTTTAATATAAAGTGTATATTATTAAAGTAATAGTATTCTAATACTATTATATCTATTATTTCAATCTTATTTAATTATTTAGTTCTATAATATAGTCTTGTTTTTTATATCAATAAAATAATCCAATAAGTTCTAATATATTTGTTACGGGAGCTGCCTCTAGGGTCACGTGGAAGTGTCTAGAGATCTCTCGAGGTGGTTTAGACTAGACTTCAAGTAGGAATTCAATAAGGTTGTAACTGGTTGCAATTCTCGTAACTATAGTAATGAAACTAATGATTGTTCTTGAGCACAAAGCTCTACATTGTAATGAAACCCATTCCCTTATATAGACCTTCGTTCTCTCTCCTGGTCCCTAGGACCTCTCCTATATGTTGGATCGTTAAGGATCGCAACGCGCTCCAGGAGCGCTGAAGCTCCTTGACGCTCCATCACGTGTAATTTATGTCATGTGACGCGGTATGTTGGATGCCGTCGTAACAATATTGTATCCTATATTGATAGAGTAATTCAATAAAAGAAAAAGAAATAGGAGATATTAAGCTTTAAGAAAAAATTATATATTATCGATATATTATAAAAGAAAATGAATATAAGACTTATAAGTAATAAATTAAAGGTTATAATAGGATTCTTAAAAGACTCGAAGTACTAAAGAATAAAGATAACCTTTAAAAGGAATATAATATTATAATTAACTATAATTTTTATAATATTTTAAAAAGAATCAAATAAAAAGAGAAAGATTATTATAATAGAATAGGAAATGTAGAGTTTCCATAAGTATATTAAAGAATTTAATTAAAAAAAGATTTTTGAATATAATAGATTAATAATATAAACGATTCGAAAAACTTGAAAGGATTGTTTGAAAGATTGTTTATAGGTTTTAATAGGGAAGTTCGAAAGAAAGTAAGTTTTTATTTCTTTTTCCCATTTACTTTATTTAATTAGAACTATATATAGGCGCATTATATGATCTTAGTATAGCTAGATAGATCGAATCGATTATGAATTTACTACTACTACTACTACTACTATATACTAATATAATATACGTACTAATAAACTACGTTATATATATTAGTAATTCCCTCTTTATATAAAAAGAATAGATAGAATAATTACTATGTTTTTACTCTTATACTTTATATATATACTTTACTAAGTTCACTTAATATTATTTATCTATTTATTTATTTATTTATTTATTTATTTATTTATTTATTTATTTATTTATTTATTTATTTATTTATTTATTTATTTATTTATTTATTTATTTATTTATTTAATTATTTATTTATTTATTTATTTATTACTTATTTATTTATTTATTTATTTATTTGTTTATTATCTATTTATTCATTCATCTATCTATCTATTCATTCATTAATTACTTTTTACTATACTTATTAATCTCATTAGTATATCTCTTTCTTTAATTCTTTATCTATTTCTAATAAACAAACTCTAGGATTTAAGAATATAAAAAGAAGAAAAGTATAGGTTTATAATTCCTTCCCTGCCTATATAAGTATTTATCACCATTACTACTATTATTGATAGGTATATAGACTCATAAGAGACTTAATGTTACGGAAGCTGCCTCTAGGATTATATAAAAGTGTCTAGAGTTCTTTCAAGATGGTTTAGATTAAACTTCAAATAGGAATTCAATAAGGTTATAACTGATTGTAATTCTTATAACTATAGTAATAAAACTAATAATTGTTCTTAAATATAAAGCTCTATATTATAATAAAACCCATTCCCTTATATAGACCTTTGTTTTCTGTTGTCCTATTAATCCTATTGTATCCCATTAGATGGAAGCAGTGGGATCCAGTGGGAGTCCCTAATCCCATGAATTCCTGATCATGTGATGCGGTATGTTGGATGCCGTCGTAACACTTAATAAATAAGTACAGTTTCATACTAAAATTCATTAGTTTTAAAATTCTATTAAAAGTCGAAAATCTATTGAATCTTTCTTTTTAATTTATATACTAGATTAATCAAGTATGAAAATATAGTGACTTTAAAAAAACATTACAAAATATAAAAAATGAGCTTAAAAAATCTAATATTATACCTTCTCACTAAGATATTTTAATAAGGGATTATATATTCAGTAAGAAGGACTTTAATTTGAATTCTTTAGATTTGATTTTGATACTATATAAAATATGTATGCTTAGCAATTATACATCTCAATTTCAAAGAAATCCATGAAGATTTCGAATTTTAATCGAAATATCAAAATCGCCTTTTGTGACGTGAAATTGTGCTTTACTCACAAGCTGTCTCGTGAGTCTGTGTACCCACTGGTGCACCCTACTTCTTCTTACTCCCCCTTCCTCTCCCCCCACTACTCTTCCCCTTATCCCCCTTTGCCTTTGCGGCCGCGGATCCCCCTCCCATCATAACCCTCACCTTGCCTACCGGCACAACATTCGTCGTTTCTTCCGGTTTCCACCCTTTGATCAAATCCATTTCTCTTGGCCAGATTCTTTCCACATCCATACTCGATTCATCAAGGACACCCTTCGCCGTACTCGCCGCCATCCACTTCCCAAGGATTTCTCTCACCGCTTTACCTTTCTTCTGTGCACCCGGTTGAATCTTCGCTTTATATTTATATTTTCCCATCGCAGCCCATGGGGCACAAACCGGTATCGCCTCAAGGATTTCATCGCCCGGTAACGGAAGACCGACGAAGGAATCTAACGATGTCATGGTTTCAATCTCATTATCTTCATGAGTATCGATGCCATCTTCCAACATCAATTTGCGCATCTCTTCATGCTCGGCTGTTTCTTTCTGCGTACGTTGATGTTGAGCTCGTCGACGTTCTTTTTGGAATGCCAATTCGGCTTCTCGAGCTGCTTTAGCTTTCGCTTCAGCCTCAGCTTTCTCTTGACCGGCTGCAGCTCCAATGATTTCTTGAGCAGCAATACGATCTTCTTCATCTTGGTCTTTGTATTTCTGTGCGATTTTCTTGGCCTTTCCTTTTTTGCCTCGTTTAGCTGGTGCAGGACCCTTTTTGGGTGCGTTTTGAACGGGTTTTGGTTTTTCACCAGTGGAGATAGACTGTGACTGTGACTCCTCAACCGAATCTTCGTCCGATTCCTCCATTTGGGGTTCAGATTCCGATGGCTGGGGCTTCTTATCGTCGATCTCAAGGGTTTCAAGCTTATCTTGTGTGTCAACTTCATTAGGTTGTTCTACCTCACCCTGTAGAGGGTTAGGCTTCGAGTCGGCATCTTCATCATCCGAATCGTCCACATCTTGATGATCAGCCTCAACTCCTTTGGTGGCGTCTGGTTCATCTTCATCAGATTGATGCAATTCGTCTCCAGAACCTTCATCTTCAAGAAGTGAATCACCCGCAGGAGGAGCATCTGTAGTTGTGCCACCCGATGGCGAATCATCTTGAAGTCTATGTTTGAGATGCCTAGCTTTACTCTCATCGCTGATTTGGAAAAGAACTCCAAAACCAAGTAGTAACTGTGCAGGAGGTAAGAAGTTCTTTTTTCCATGGGTATTGAAGCTACCAGCGGGAAGAAATTCGCCAGTAGGGGCAGACTTTGATACTTGATCTGCAGTCACCCACCAAGCAGACATGCCAGCTTTAGAATCCCAAGCACTTGATGTAACAACTACCAATGTTCCCGCTTGGCTTAGAGTCTGTGGAGGAATTGGGGCATCCGGCGTTTTTGGATTGTTTCTAACAATGACGGATGCTGCACCTCGTATATCTGCATGCAAATATATATCGCCTTTCTTAAGATATCTCTTATAGAGGATCTCACTTTGTTGTGCATCCTTTCCTGCAAGTACTAAATATCCATCACTAGATATGAACCAAATGAATTTCTCGAACCACATCTGTTTTCGTACAGGTCGTAAGATAGCCTTCTCTTGCTTCAAACCCTTCTTTAGATCTTGAGCTATTTTCGCTTCAGTACTCTTCAACGCCTTGGAAGATGATTGCAGGGTTTTGTCCTCTTTCGATGCGGCTGAACGTTTTTGGTCAAAATAATTACGCGCATTAGCCCAAGGTGACAACGCGAGATCGATATCAATAGGGATCCGGGTGTCTGCAACCTTTTCCTTCTTCTTATTCTTCGCGGTGTTATCTTCATCTTCACTTTCGGAGACATCACTATCAGTCTCGTAAGTAGAATCTTCTTCTTCGTCAAACGCCTCTTCATCCAATAAAATTGTTACTGTATTCTCTTCCAATTTCAGGGGCAATTTAATCATCGAAGCTACCGCATTGTTGAACTTTTGTTCCCTTTCAATTAGGCGTCCAATTTCGAACCAATCCATGCCTTGCGCGATCAAGCCATTAACAGCATCTGTTACTTCTTGAACCCGCTCAACATTAGCTTGTAAAGCACCGGCTTTACGTTCATTCAGTGCCTGAATCTCTTGTAATCCGCCCAAACGTTTGGCCTGTTCATTTCGTGCCGCCTGAATTTTCTTTTGGGCTAGCTTTTCTCTCTCTTCAAGCTTTGATTCTAGTTTTTGTCCCTCAATTGAAGAGAAGAACTCATCAACCGTTTTGTTGAACCCTTCGAACTCTAAAAAGACCAAGGAAGGATCATCCTGGAATTGCTTTGGTTTGAATGGATGAAAATCATCATAAAGTAGACCTTTTCGAATATCTGCCTGATTTTCATCTGATAGAGTCTGAGGGTCCTTCTTCTTCGCTACAATATAGCCCTTTGCAGTTTCGGAGCTAGTAATTTCTTGAACAACTCGTTGAGCTTCTTGAAGTGATTTCATCAAATGATCCAAGAGATCTTCACTCTGCAAAACTTCGGCCGGTTTTAGAGAGGAATTGAAGCTTGTGATACGCATGGCGTGGTCCACTAGCATCGGTGGAAATTCCGTGATAGACACAGCTAATGCCTTTCGTAATGCATCTCCAGGCTTCTTCTTCTTCTTTCCAGAATCATCCTCTCCCTTATCTACCCCTTTTTGTAAAGCTTCTTGAAGTCGTTCTTTCGTCAAATCAGGTATTCCTCCATAATTTTGTCGATTATCCAAAGAGTATTTAAGTCCAACTCGTAATTCTTCTTGAGCCTCTCCCGGATCGACCACTCGAAGCAAGGTTAGGATGTTTGAGTCCTTATCCGTAAGAATGATATTGCCTCCCGCATAGAACTCCAAGTATAATCTGTATTGTCCATCACTGAATTGAAATTCGATTATGCGATCCGTTCCGATTTGAGAAACCTGTGTGACTCGTCTTGTCTTCAAGTATTTCCTTAATCTTTGTACAAAAACACTAGGAGCAGCTGCAGTCGCTCGAGAGAAATCGGTGAGATGGCATCGGAAGCCAGAATCTATGAGGATCTGCTGTTTGTTGTCTGGTTTCGCAAATTTAATCAAGAAAATCTTCGATGACAAGTCGTAAATATTGGAAACGCGCAAAGTAACCAATGCATTTGAAAGTTCATGGGCGATGACCTGAGAAAGTTAGAAGGTACTACAAAGCCGTAGAAGGCCTGTTAGAGCTTTGTTTGACTTACCTTCACGTCGATAGAAGAAAACCTTTGCTTCATCTCGTCGTAGTGGCGATAGTTGTATTTTCTCAATGTTTACTCACTGAATACTATATTTTGCTATGGTGGGGGAAGTTTGGATATAATTCTGCGCTGAAAGCAATTCAGGTACACCGTACCCTTACATCCATCTTGATTGCATCATGGTGGGGCTTAATCATCATCACTCACTCGTTTTAACCATGACGAGGAAACCTCAGAGGAAACCTCAGAGGTAACCTCGCCAGAAACCTCGCCATCGTCGGTTATATTCAATTACTGAGCTTCATCAAAGGTTGACTATGTTTGTCGTCACATATATTTCCAAACCATCCCCAAAAATCAGGTACAACGTTCTTGCTAGTAAAACATCGAAAAAATCCGAGGCACTCCGGTGAGCGACAGTCAAGCATGGATGGTACATGCCTAGATACTAGATAGTCAATATCCACAGCCATCTCAAATGGCTATCGACCGGCAGATGAACACAACCTTGGAAACCCTCGGAATTGCAGTTGAAATGGCGCCGATTACATGAGTTTCTTTCATCCAGATGACGATCTACTGAATCTCGAGCAATCTTTTGGTAATTAACACGAAAATACCGTTATCTATTGATAGCCGTGTAGGAGCGAATGAACTTTAGAATCTGCTTAATCCGAGTTTGATTCAATGATGCAAGACGGTCAGGAACTTGAGATAACTTCCTAATTCAGAAGGATACATAAGTACTGCATGGTGCCGGCATTGAGTGTGTCAAGTTACCTTCCGGATTGACAACAAGTGTTGCAGGGTTCGTGGTACCTGTCCATCATTTGGACAATGCCCCTCGTATGTTCACAAGAGCTTCAAAAAGTACTTAAGCTTTTGTCTGTAGGTCTTTCCCCTGATGTTTGCCAAGCTCGTTCGTTCGTTTGTTCAATCAAAATGCATTTCCATCATCTTGCCTCAATTGTTTTGGCCGTTCCTGGAATTATTGCTGCTGTTCTTCCGAACTCTGACACTCTGTCCCCTCGTTCGTCATTTGTTTCCCATGAGAAGCGAAATGCACCTCATACACAGTGGATGAAACGTGACCGGATTGCGAGCACGGCTTTACTTCCTGTGCGTATTGGTTTATCCCAGGGTAACCTCGAGAAAGGACATGACTTTCTCATGGATGTGTAAGTAGTTGACGATGAAATGGATATGAGGATTATACCTTTCATCACTCCATTATGCTAATGACTTGAAAGTTCGCATCCAGAATCCCCAAACTATGGAAAACATTGGACAGCCGAGCAGGTACATGAAATGTTTGCCCCTTCAGAGGAGACAATCAATATTGTACGAAGTTGGCTAGTCGACTCAGGAATTGCAGCTAGTCGAATTGTTCACTCCGATACAAAGGGATGGTATGCGTTTGATGCGACAACGAGTGAACTCGAGACTTTACTCAATACTCAGTACTATACATATGAGCACTCTTCAACTGATGAAATAGCTGCTGCATGTGATGAGTGAGATACCATTTTCTCTAATTCCTTGAATCGAGGCCTCCATTGATTCGTACACAACGGCTATTGACATCGATATCTGCTCGTGAAACATGCTAAACAAAATTTCATAGATACCACCTTCCAGCCCACGTTCAACCACACGTGGATTACATTACACCTGGTGTTAAATTAATCTCCACGAAAAAGAAATCAACCTCAAAACGTAGCTTTCTTGGTGGGAGTAAAGGTAAAGACTATGGACCTTTACGACGACCAAACAGTTCATTTAGAGGCTATTCACATCACAATTCGAGTTCATTGGCGACTTGTGATGAGGTTATTACTCCAGAGTGTATCAAAGCCCTCTATCATATGCCTCTTGCCAGTAAAGCGAATCCCAATAATGCAATGGGTATTTGGGAAGAAGGAGACTTCTATGATCAAGAAGACTTGGATTTATTCTTTGCTAATTACACTCCATATATCCCCAAGGGTACACATCCAATCCCCAATTTCGTGGATGGTGCCATGGCTCCAGTATCTGTCGAGAAAGGAGGCGGAGAAAGTACGCTAGATTTCGAATTGGCATATCCTTTAGTATATCCTCAAAAATTGGTACTCTATCAAACGGATGATATTAACTACTCTAATGAGAACCCCACCATAGGTGCATTTAATGTGTTTCTCGATGCTATCGATGGAGTATGTATACTCACTCCTCAAGTTTCAAAGGTGTCACTAACAATCTTTTCAGTCATACTGCACATACTCAGCTTATGGAGAAACTGGCAATGATCCTGTTCTCGACCCTATCTATCCAGATTCCGCCGCTGATGGATACAAAGGAAAATTAATGTGTGGTGTCTACAAACCCACAAATGTAGTCTCAACATCCTACGGTGAAGCAGAGATAGATCTTCCTGAATACTATCAGAAGAGACAATGCAATGAGTATGTATACTTATCATATATTGGGTGATGAAATACTTACATGAAGATAGGTACATGAAACTTGGACTTCAGGGACATACATTTATATATTCTTCAGGAGACTTCGGTGTTGGTGGAGTTCCTGGTGATGCTTCAGAAAGTGGATGTTTAGGTTCGAATTCGACAATTTTTAATCCTCAATTTCCTGTCAAGTACGTATCTTCAGTTGTGCACACTCGAAATTCTCTCTATAATCAATATATAATTCAAGACTAACACTCGATAGTTGCCCATACGTTACAGCAGTTGGCGCCACAAAAGTTTACCCAGGCCATACAGTTTTCGAACCCGAAAGTGCCGCCAACGATCTCAAAGGCCAACCATACAACAGTGCATACTCTTCTGGTGGAGGATTTAGTAATGTCTATAAAATTCCCTCGTACCAAAAAGAGGCTATCGCATCGTAAGCTTCCCCTTCACGATAACCAAACTCTATTCTAACCAGCCGTTCCAGATATTTCAAGAACCATAACCCTTCTTATCCATACTATGAAGCCACCGCCGGTAGCAATATTAGTATAGGGGCTAATGGCGGAGTATACAATCGTGCTGGAAGAGGTATCCCAGATGTTTCTGCAAATGGAGATAATATTGCAACATTCGTTGGAGGAACCTTTATTTTGAATGGGGGTACCAGTGCGAGTATGTCTTCTTCAATCCAAATATATTCTCTTGATTCTTGCTAAAGATTTCTAGGTACGCCTATTTTCTCTTCCGTTATTAACTTGGTATGATGATTTCTTTTTTTCCCTTTCAGTTAACTTATATAAACTTACAAATCGTAGATCAATGAGGAACGACTCGCGATTGGAAAGTCTACAGTAGGATTTATTAATCCGGTTCTTTATGCAAATCCTCACGTGATGAATGATATCACCAATGGAAGTAATCCTAATTGTGGTACCGCTGGGTTTAGTGCTGTGTCTGGGTATGTCTTTTCTTACTTTTTTTTTGGTAACTGATTGCGAGACGCTTGCTAACATACTGCTGTGCTGTAGATGGGATCCTGTTACTGGACTTGGAACGCCTAATTATCCAAAGTTGTTGGAGCTCTTCCTTAGTTTACCTTAATTATAAGGGCGATGTTGTGGGAAGAGAATCTAAGAGCCGTGTGTGTTAGAATGGGCTTACCCAATGGCTTTTATGGATACATATTAAAGTTGCAACAATACTTTGATCTACAAAATATAATTTAAGCAAGCTCTGGTTTCATATCATAGAATGTCACAACAATAAGACTACATCAACTTTACATTAAATATTGTACATTACAACCGCCCATTACACACCAATACCCAGAACGCCCATTCCCTCCCCAATCCGTTTACCCACCCACCCACACAAATATCCCACCCGCACCCTATTTACAAGCCCTAACACTCCAATCCACCGTATTGTTTCCCTGCCCCGGCACCTTCGGTTTAAAATCCAAATAAACCAACTCCCCCTTCTTACTCTCCCACTCCCCATTCGTGTCACGATAATACACAATCTCATCGCTCCCCGCATCGCGGACTTCAACCGTCGTGTGAGAGAGGACCCCGTCGGTGCTCCATTCGATATTGTAGCAGGACTCGCCGGTTACGAGGAAGGGGGCGGTGCAGCGACGGTTGTGGTCGCTGTCGAGACAGCTTTCGACGGCGTAGTCGAGGATGTGGCCCGAGGCGACTTCTTTAGCTAAGGGGGGCGGTTTAGTGGGGGTTTTTGAGGGATGAGAGGGAGAGTGGGAAAGTGGCAAGGAATGGAGAGGGAGAGGGAAAGGGAGACATACGTTTGGTGAGGGTGCCGGTCATAGCGAGACCTGCGGTCAGGATACTTTGGGCGTTTGGGAGATACATTTTTTTGTTCTTGATATTGTTGATATTTGATTGATTGGTGAATTTGATTGAATGAGATTGATCGAATTTTGAAAATAAATATCGATTAACAGTTCAAGAAAGAAAAGCATACCTTTCCATCCTTATTATGTAGGTAGCTATGTGCCAAGAGATATCCCTAGCGCCTATGACGCTGCAATGTCTTAGCGGGGAAGCGGAGGTGGCGGGAGCGACAGGAACCAAGCTGATCTGCGCCACTATATTTCGGAGGCGTCTAGACTGTCATTTCCAAGGTTATTTCAACTCATTTGAGAGAAATGAAATTCATAAAAACTTCATATTCATAACTTTTTGGTATATGTATGATACGATTGGTCATGGGATGGGATACCGCTCTCGGATACCAAATTATAGTGACGAGCCCGGGGATCGTGCTAATTTTGCCAGTTCGTGAGCGGCGGTTATACGACCTGGTTTTGCTTTGTATGGTAAACTTAACTCCCTTGCCTTTTTGCGCATCGAAATTGCTTCTTCGCTATCTCCTATGACTTGCAAAAATGCAGTGCTCAATTCTTCTGCTTTCCACTGTTTTGATATCAGGAATCGCTGCATATGAAATGACTTGGAAAGGAGACTTACATTAGGAGCCGCTTTCCTACTACCCCAAACCCCGACACCCAAGTACTCAGCCTTCACTGCATAATCATAAAGGTCGACCCACAGGGGTAATACGACTTGAGGAATTCCCGTCCCAATAGCTTCATAGAAACAATTTGCTCCTCCATGATGAACTGAAGCAACGATATTTCCTGTCTCTAACAATACGGCCGGATCGACTTTTATCCAGTTGGACATCCTCACACGTCCTGATTCGAGATCCGGAGAGAGAATATCGAGAAATTCATCACTGAATACATGGCGTTTGTTGAATTTCCATAGTACCTGGACGGTAGTGTTGTCAAGCAGAATTCTGATCGCTTTTGCCATTTCCGTTGCGGCATTGAGGTCATAGTCTACTACACTTCCTAGGTTTATCAATACCGTTGGGAAGTTTTTAAGCCATTCAGATAATTCTGGATCTTGTTCTGCAGCTGTGGCCGTTGAAAGAAAAATAGGTCCGCATTGGACTACATTTTCGGGAATGGTGTCGAGAGGGTATTCGAGTTCTTGAGAACTTTGGGATATCCATGGATAGTCTTTGTGATAGACGGTGAAAAAATTCAGGGGGTTTGCAATTCCGTTTTCTTTGAGATATGCGCGCTTAGCAGAGGTAATTGGGGATAACAGCACGCTGTATGCAAGACGCAGGTTCCTGTATATGTTTGAAGGGATGAGGTGCCAAGGCACTGGATATGGGAATGCGGAACTTAAACTAAAATTTGTGAGTAAAATTTGTTTCATAAATCTTGAATTGCTTACACTGGATATTTCCAAAGTACAGCTCCCCAAGGTTGATACTTTGCAAAACTATCTTTTAGAGTATTTGGTGAGATAATAACATGATTACGTCCCTGAGCTCTCACAGCATCAACGCCAGGACCAAATATTGGATCTACAGCCACAATAACCGGATCTACAGTATTCAATATATCAGAGATCTCTTTGTAAATATTAAGATAATCTGGAGCTGTCCAGGGCATCACCATTTTTTCCAAATTACTGCAAAATTTGCTGAAATCGGCGAGTGAAGGTGAGTTGATCGCCAAATCAACTATGAAACCACCCTTGTTCAAAGATTTCTTGTATGATGGTCCTTCCAACTTGTAGAAAGTGATACTCCTGTTACTTCCCGTATTTCGTGCGAAATTGGAGATGGTAGTAATGTCATCCTTGAGCTTGTCAAACGTGGCGAAATGGATGTCGAGATCGATATGTTCCACGAGTAAAGCATGACCAGTTGCCAAAAAGACGTTTGCGAATCCATGTTCACTATTTGTGATAAACAAAACAGTCTTATTCTTTCCACGCCATTCTCCAATTTTTTTAGGAGCGGGATTTTCTTCGCTCTGTGTTGACGTTCTAGCAGATAAATATGCTATGCAGGCAAAAGTGACTGCGAGAGCGAAGTAAAAAGGTCGTTTAAACATATTTTGCCGTGATGAATGAAAACGAGCATTTAAAGGCGATTATTGAAACATTAAAAAACAAGATGGTATTCCCTCCTTGCTCTGTGACTTTTTGGGGGTTATATGGTTATTCACCCCCTGTTGAATATCTACTGTCACCTGTCTTTGCGTGGAAATGTACTTGCATACCGAGTCAGTTCAATGGGCTGTCAAGATCGGTTCTTGGCTTGTGTAAGGTGTATCTTTTTGGAGCCCAAATTACTTTTCCGCGATGGTGATACTATAGCATTTTGTAAAGCAACTAGCGACGACTGATCGACCATTTTGCTGGCATCTCATTCTATCACGTCTACATTCTTTTCCCTCGAAAGTACGAAGTAAATCGTCCACCAAAAGGAAGCCCCATGCATATAGATTGAAGGATTATTTGACCGTAAATTTTGGTTGAATAGTGAGCACTGATTATAAATCTGCGGCTGACAGATTCAAGCTGAAGCACTCATTTAATTGTCCAATCCAAACGGGGGTCTGGGGCACCATGAGCCGGTGATCTGACTATTCGTTGAGATGATATGCATGTACGGCGCGAATCAAGAAGGATATCCGAGTTAAGGTTGGCCATCGGATCTGATACCATATGTAGGTTACTCCATGATAAGCCTGCCTTGGAGCCATCGAGGAAAGTTGGTCTTACCAACAAACCCATTCATTCTCTTTCAATGGATGCACACTCGTAGCTTCCAATCATCTTTATAAGAGTTGCGCAGTTGATAATTATACATTGGAAGCTCTCATCTGGACCGTCTGAATGTTGTAAGCAGGTAGGTATTTAAGTATTCGTGGTTGTAGATTTTATTGTGGTAAGGTTTGAGTTGTTGATAAGTGGTGATAATTCAGGGTTTTGACGCTAGTAATACTAGGGCATTTAGGCTCTCGACATTTTCGGCCAAAGAGAGTCTCAATCTTACAAGAAACAATTCTACTATTGGCAACATATTGGAAAAATTTGATATTTGAAGACTCAAAGTCAGACTAATATTCATTTTTGCTGTTTGAGGATAGTTGTATAGCCTTCTGCTGCTCAAATCTTATCTCTTTCCAGTCATTCAGTCGAATCTGATAGATCAGAATGTGCTCCCGCTAGGCGTAAGCTGCGCAACACACAATCTTATCAATCCATTTTTCATTTCCAACTTTAACAGTTCTCACGACTCTTGCATTAGCTTCCTACCAATAGCTGTGCCAGATCTCTCCGTCAGCCAGCAAGGCTTAACTTTCGTACAAAGCCGCGGCTATTCCGAATCCAAAGAAAGTTGATTCCTCGTGCACCTTACCGTGGGTGCAATATCCAACAACATCATAATCATGTCTAACTACTCTACAGCAAAAGTCATACATGGAGATCTTACTCGTCGGATGAAGCTAAGTCAACCCCGGACCGCCTCTCCCACGCTGCCTCGAAAGCATTCAAAGATGCAAAGAAGGAGGGCATTTCCACCAATGGACACATATCTCTTGAGAAAGAAGGCAGGCAATCGTTGCTTGAATGCTAATTTTCTCCCAAATATAGATTAGACGTTGAAATGGTCCAACAGCGACCTCTCATAATAGGGCAGCATCACGGTGAAGTTGTTCCTCCAGGCTATCCCTCAATGAGTTTTGCAAAGCATAGAGGACAAGCAAACTCGGAGGAGCCTAATCTACAATTCTGACATCCTTACTATCATCCTTACAAGAGTTTTCAATTGAATACCTTGTGCTCCACTTTGGGAATGAATTGTGGATTTATGCGTTCGGGAAGAAGTTGCTCTTGGTGGGTGTTTCCCAATAATACAGTTGGGAACGATGCGATCCTTCTTCGAAATTACTAAGGATACTTTTGATGGCCTCCAGCCCGGCCGGTCATAAGATTTTGACCATCAAGGTCAAGTTGGGTTTTCGGTCACAGTTTTGGTGTTGCATGTCACACATGGTTCTTCAGGTAATTCTCAACTCAATTATATTGACTCATTTTTCCATTTTTCTTTTCTTGTCATTAAATAATTGTGAGATTCCAATCAGAAGTATACGGGCCCTCAAAGTGTCAGAGCTTTGCATCCTTTACAGTCCCAGATCATCATTTCATCATAAATCATAAATATCATTCATCTCATCATTCCTTCACGATCAACTCCATTTGCCTCTATGCAGTTGGCAACGGGCAAGTAGTCCAATCCGTGATACATTCAGCCTCTGCAAACAGTCAGCATTGTTACAGATCTCATATCATCTAAGTAGTGACGTACCAACACTGGCGACACAAGGTGCGACATCTTCATCTGTGCAACCATGGCCACAACTCTTCAACAAGCAGACAGCATAAGCGCCTTGCGCATCAGAACAACTGCATTCCTCCACCCGAACTTGAAGTGCAGCGGGAATTGTTGGACGTGCAGCGACAAGAGTGAGGCCGGCGAAAATGGCAAACATGGTTGAGAATTGCATGTTGATGGTTTTTTTTTGGATTCGTTTCTGAATATGAGAGAAGTCTCGTAAAATTGATATCCTGATGCTGTTTTTGACCTCTGGTTGTTGATCTATATGTTCGATGCCGTAGTAACACGAGGTATTTATAATGTTTCTTCTTTTATACATTGCCACCAAAAGTATCTCAAATCAGATGTGCCTTCCCCTTTCATCGGGTTGCATCTCAGCTCCGTTGTGAATGGCATATGCATCAAATCGCTGCAATGCATTTACAGCGAATTCTTGGCATCAGTCGGTTATAAAAATCTGGATAACATACATACAAACATACATACATACATGGGTAAGTGCCCTGCATAAAATTACATAACCCACACCTAGAGATAAAGCACATCCTCGATCTCCGATTTGCACAATCCACGATTGAAAAAATGTTTACTTCGACGATATGCATTGTCACTGTAAATGTCAGCCTGTCGGGAGATTCCGTGTGGATTTCACCAGACTCAAAGCTTGATTTGGATATCCGAGTCGCAGCAAGATCGCTAGGGGATTGAAAGGTTTGTTAACGTGCAGCATGCACAATATGAGGCGAGACCGTTAAAGAAGGCGATCAATGGTAGGTGCGGGGCCAAGATTAGTAGATCCATGAATGTTCACCGCCTGCATCGATGCCATTGTTGTGTGACTTTTATTTTCGGTTACTGGAATATTGAATATTTTCACAATTGTAGTGTACGCTTTTGTTCACCGTCTTATTGATCTATCTATAGAATAGTTTCCATTCGCAACAGTGAGTAGAGTTAAAGATGTCTTTTTGGAACCTACGGGAATACTTGATGCATGGTGCTTATCTCAGTACCATGCATCCGATTCTCAGAATGGACGCAAGTCCGATGAACGAATGAGCAACCACAAATCTCTATCTCCTTGAAGTCAAAGTTCAGCTGCTAGCAACTTGGACTTCACATGCACAAAGTGATGTCTCTGAAGTTATATCCTACCTTAAGTTACTTCTAGAATTGAACCATTCAGAGACACCAACCTCTATGGCAAACCTATTTCGACATCGAGACTCGTTTCAAATCTCAGATTATACTCAATACTTCAAAGATAACTATGTATTTAATACTTTCAACTTTGGACTGCAGTCCGGGCTGTCGAGAGCCCTTCTCAACGCTCAATAATCGGGAGGCTTTGCAAGAGTATATTTCAATGATTACGTCAAATTCATCATATGATGATACCATCTTACGACTTCAATTCCATGTCAGAGCTTAGATGCGCGTGGATATCACACCCGGACTTCAGTTTCACTCCACGTCAGCTAAGAATACTTCACGAGAAGTGATGTCAAATTGTCAAATTCCATTGATCTCCATCTAACAACCGAATAGAAAAAGTAGGGGACCAGATTGCTTGGATAAGATCGAATGTTTACCTGGGTACTTGTAAAATATCTCCATTCTTCTCGTCGTCTGAATTCATGAGGAAAGAAGGCCGGAGTGACTCGAAAATTACCAACTCACACGTAGTCTTCAGATATGTAGCTTCACGTTACCAAGATCTGCAGATTGACAACATAACGGATGTGATGTCCAAAAGATTTGGAGATTCGTTGTTACGTTGGTTCAAAGAGTGTCCAGTGTTCGCAAGCTGCGAAACCGATTAGCCTCCCTAAATGCTACGGCCTCTGTTTTCCAAACTCTACTCCCCCTCATTTTCTATCCAACATTTTTACTATTGTTTCGGTAGCTTGAAATTCATTCACCTTCATCTCATAATACCCATCGTTAATGCAGCAAAACGATACAGAACGAAAGGGACAAAGGCTGATGCGATTCTAATATGACTGAATAGAGGGAATTTCGTGCGGCAATGCATCCCACAGGGAAGTGTATTATCTGTTCTGCTCTTGAAATAGCTTTCTTCCAGCATATCTTCTATATCCCAGAAAACGACCTTTGTCAAAGTGGAAAGATAGAGGTATTGTTAAAATGTGATTATTACAAAATCTGTATTCGCCACTATACACAACAACGGTTCAGTAACGATCTAAACGATCATCCAAAATTAAATAACGAAGGGCCCCTAGAATACGCCGGTACTATCCATTTTCCATTCCACAATTCAGTCCAAACGCCGATCTCAGTCTCATCAACAACTCTCCCTTACAGATTACACCACCTAACCCCATGTATTCGTTCTATTGATTCTCGCCCTCGCCAACGCTATCTCCTCCTCCCTCTCCTTAGCTCCACGAAGTCTTTCAGCACAAGTACGCATAGACCACAGAAGTACTATCAGCACAATTACTCCAAAAGAAACAACAACAAAAATAGTTCTGACTGCGCTCTCAGTGAAAGGCTGCGCGAAAAAGGGTCTTTTTTAATGCTCGTTGATAGCGTCTTCTGAGAGCGCCGCCAAACAGTGCAGCCTTGGGGCAGCATTAGAGTCGGAAATTTTGGTGATAGAAGTGAGGGAACAGCGCTCGAGGATTTTGGTCACTGTGCTGGCAATTATGGGGGTTATTGGAGCGTGAGAGTAAGGGGTGTCGGACCAGGACCAGGACCAAGAGGAGGAGGAGAAGGAGAGGGCGGCTAGGGTGACGAGAGCCGCGCCTGCACGGGCTATGGGTGCCATTTTTGAGGTAGGATAGACTTTGTGTTCGTTGAGTAAGAAAGAGTTTTATTGGGTAGCTTTGTGTTTGGTGTGTGATGTATGGAAAAGGAAATGTAATTATTGGCTTTACTAGAAAACGGCAATTTCCCTGTGATGTGAGATTTTGTCCCTTTATAAAATCTAGAGAAATCGGATTACACTTATTTCCTCAAATGATTGGAAAACATACACCTTATATACACCAAAGTCAACATTTAAGTTCTCTTCATCTGTCATACCAAGACGCTTTCGAAACCAAGAGCCTTCTAAGAAACCATTCGACTTCCTTAGTATCGTTATATCAGTATCTAGAGATGATTTAGAAAAGCTTACATCTTTCTAAACTTCTTATCAGTATCTTACCAAGAGACTTACAAAGACATAACTTTTATTTCAAGCACACAACTTTCTTAGTACCAGCACATCAACCTTCTAGCAATACTCCAGAAAGCTTATTCTCCATCCAAGTCCCAAAATTCCAACCCAAGAGCATCAAAATACCCGTCTACCCTACTTCCCTAATCTAGCTATCTCATAGTCTATAGATCAAGCTCGTACTAAGCTTTTAGCTCTACACTATCACATCACCCCACTACACTAGGACCCTTGGGGGTTGCGCAGAAACGCCTTTATCCTTCTTTAGTAGTTCTACAGGCTCGACATTAAGATAGAATGTGGAAGTTCTGCCGAAAGCTGGAGATTGAGGAAGTGATGACGTGCATTATCGCGCGTGTGATATAGAGGCGGAAATTTATCTGATATTAGTGTATTTAGGGTTGTAGTTGATCAGAAAGTTATGGTTCGTGGTTATTAAGACAATTGTGTGTGGAATTTTGTTATATAGGTCATGGTGTGATGGTGTTGATGGATTGTATGCTCGACATTAGTGATCTTCTCCGAGGAATTATAGGCCAATTGAAATGTTCTGTTTCCAGTGATATCTATTGGCAAATGTTTCATAAAACTCCCCGAACTCAGAGTACAGTATAATGCATCCACGCCTTGCAATAGCCCCAAGCTCTCACCACAAAATCCGAAGACACGTTGAAAGCCTTCGCTTAACAATCCATTTGATAATGAGACCCTTGTTAAATCTCGTCTTAGAAAACGAAATGTTGGATCAGAGGCGACAGAGCACTCTGGCGGTGCCATATCATGCTTGCATGGTATTTATCCCAGGGAATTTATTGGCAGACTTCTCCCCGACGCGTTATCTAGCCTTCTTCTGGAGCCTGATGTCTCCTTTCTAACTCATTAAGTCCTGAATAGTTTGAGATTTGACGTATCGAAGCGAAGATAACATGCTATACACGTAAGAGGATTTGAGTTTCTGTGCTGTGGCCATGTTAACTGTTGAAATTGTACTATGCGCCAATTTTTGGTATAAATTTAAAATATGAGATTTATGAACAGACACTCGCAACTTGTAATCGTCTACTTATATCTGGGGCAACTTGTCCTAAGCGTGGATCGTGGAGAGTTTTCACGCACGGTAAACGACAATGTCTGCGTCTAATCAACGAGATATCAGGAGGAAACGAGGTTCAGACGAATTTGTGAAGAGTGTCTTTATGGATGAACAATGGCAAAAGATGTAGCTCCACGCCTTCACGAATGAGTTGAGAAAGACAGTTGGTAAATAGGAGAGTTCCTCGGGTATATAGTCAATAACATATAAGTCTGGCGTCCTATATGTAAAATAGTGATACTATACTCATTACTCGAGAGATAATAACCATGAGCCGTACCAAAAGACACGATGAATAATTACATTGAGCTGTTAATCAAATGTTACGGTCCTTGCATGACCCATACATACGGATTCCCATCCTGGCTGGCTGGCTACGTGTATTCTATGGTCCTTTAAGCGAATATAATAGACTCTATTTTTCTCTCCCAATGAGATTCTCTCGACCTGCGACTACCTCTACCACAAAGCAAACTCGGCATTGATTCTACCTCAAACTTCCATACAACAAATATCTCACCAATCCAAAGCCAAACTTGCAATATGTCTGTCGTGTTACACGGCCACGAAACATTTCATCGCTTCAAGGATCTTCCAGCCGAAATACAACACAAGATATGGAAAATCAAGATTGATGAAGAGATTGAAAATCTCACAGAGGGTCGCATTATCAAGGTCATACAGCGAAAGTTAAAGCAGACCATTCGGCAATGGCAGGAGATCAATGAAGATCCTCAATCGATTACAGACCCCTTGTCACGAGCTATGGAACTTTTTCGAGATATCAATTCTGATGCCATAAAACCTCCCTTCGAAATGGCAATGATGGCTGCAGGACATAATTGGCATGTAGAACAACTGCAGAGAGATCTAGATGAGAACTTGATTGGCATGTATTCGCCACAGTCTATACCCCCTAACATTGCTGCATTATTGTCAGTAAGTTACGATTTGAGGATGCTGATGGAGAAGACATATTCCTTCGCATGTGGAATCGCAAAGCCAATGGTCTTCTTTAATTTTGAGCTGGATAATCTCTTTCTCAGTTACAAAGATTTCCACATTGCCTCCAATGATCTGAGCTTCGTACGATCCCTAATTGACGGGTTAGATAGTGGAAGACGAAAAGATTGGGGAAAAGTCAAATTCTTATCGATAGAACTCCCGACTCGCTATTTCCAAAGAGTGGGCCCTGACACAGAGTATGACGTCGCATTTCACCCGTTCATAGAGGTCGTTCTTTTGTATTTTACTGGTCTGAAGGAATTGACCGTAGTATATTCAGACTACTCTGAAATCGATGAACACGACAATCTGATTTTTTTCGAGCCCATCTGTCTTAATTTCGCAATTCAAGCCCTGCGTTGGGGACTTGTTGAAAACTTACAAGACTTCGAAAGCTACGATTATGCTCAAGGCATGAATTTTAGAGTTCGACATTACTATGAGCTCCAACCTCTAGTTCAGGGAATTCCGGAATTTGCAAGACGTATGGAAGAGAATACAGGAGCTCATCTTAAAGTTCCGGGGATCGGATCATTGTTCATAAAGCTGATTATCGGACCTACGCGACAAAGAATGTTGGAGGATGCACATCAAGATTGCCTTGGAAGTAACTCATGAATGCAGTCGATGGTCGTTGAAAACTAAATGCGGAAGGACATATAGAGATGAAGGGATGGGCAGAAATATCATTGCCAAAGCTTGATGAGATACATGCTAGGGAGTCGAATATTAGTCTTGATATCCATCCATATAAAATTGTATTCCGCTAGTAGGAACTGGGTGTAAAAACAGCAATGTACCTACTTGCTGTGAAAGGAATAGCAGTGCGAGAGCAGTAATTTGCAGTACGATAGCTTTATTAAATTGCTCCACCCATGAACCATTTAACTGCTGTGATGTGATCCAAATAGTAAGTGAACAGTAATATGTAGATCAGGCTTGGTGTATCATGAAAAAATTAGTCTTCGAACTTTCAACATTATATAGCACACTATCCCCTAGACTGCTAACTCATAGCGCTCAAATGCTCCGTGTAATATACCCTATATGAAAAAGTTTGATTAATTAAAGTAAAGTTTTAATACCTTTTTAATTATTCTATTTATAAAATAAGGTTTTGATTCTAAATCTTGATTTTCTTAAAATCGTAAAAATAATAAAGATTAAAATTAATAAATCTTATTATTTGGAATTTTGAAATAAAAATCTTATAAAATGGATTTTATATTGAAGATTGAATGTAAGTATTTAATTAAATTTCAATAATCCTAATGATCTGATTGATTAATAAGTCTCTATTAAGCGAAAACACCTTCAGTTGACGGTCTAGGGGATAGGAAATACGCCTTGATAACAATTACTTATATGATTTACGTATTTATTGGTTTGAAGTAGTGACCAATAATATCAAGATTCTTTGCTATGACTCCGATCAGTACAGATCGTATGATACTGGCTACATATCAGAGCCGGTCCTAATTTGCATCTTGTCAGTCATTTCCTTGAGAGAACCAATTCGTTCCACAGATTTCGTTGGCTTTCTGAAATTTGGGCAGAGGCTGTGGTTGGGAGAGCAGCGGTGACGGCGAGGCGGAGGAAGACGGATATCGAGACGAAAGTTGTGGAATGCATTGCAGAGGTAGCGATGTCGCTTTAGTAGATGTCGAGCAATGGATAGTGAGATTGGAAATGGTGGGAGGAATTGTTAGGATTCTATAGAAATTTTCAAGTCTGATAATCTAGTTATGTAAGAGTTTAGGCCCCGGCTTATTACACACTAAGCGAAAACACACCAAAAACCCTTATTTATTCAACTTTTGAACTATATATTAATTCAATTACTTTTCAAAATAAATTTACAAAAATTATAAACAAAATTGAAACTTATCAAAATGATTTAAAAAAATGAATGAAATATTTTTAGTATTTTTTTTTGAAAAAGTTGTAGGTTTTCAAAATTGAAATTATAAAAAAAAACTTAAAAAAGTGATTTTTTATATAGGAAAAGTATTACATATTATAAATTATGAGAAGTTTCAACTTTAAAAATTTATAACTTTATCAATTTTTATAATTTCAAAATATTATTTAAATTAAAGATTCTTTTTATAATTTTTTATATATATATAGTTTTCACATTAATTCTTTATATAATTGAAGAATTATAAAAGTAATTAATTTGTATGGGAAAACAGTATTTTTGTGGGGATTTTGTTACGAAAAAGGGTGGTGTGTGATAAGCCGGGGCCTCAACTCTTACAATGCTAACCTCACTAGGCGTATATAAAGAAGACACGGGTGCGCCAGCGCGAACAAATCACATGTACATCATCTAAGAGCAGGGCAAAATTCATGAATATACGAACAGTCCAAGGGTTCAAGTGTTCCGTAATCACCATTGGGTCTAAATAGCAGGCTCCAGTGAATCTAGTAATCGGCGGGTACAACCAACCACATCACTATCATGATTACAAACTCACTCGCTACCTTTTTGCGGCTCGTGAGACTATCTTCACACCGCTGCTTACAATCCTTATACGGAAGTGTGAGAGTTTACATGGGTTCAGCGACGAACAGGTTTCCAAGATGAGATAACGACTTGATGATATCAGATCTCTCTTGGAATCTTTGTAAATCACATGGAGTGTTTGAATTACTGATGACCTTTATGTTCATTTTCCTCAGATTCATGAAGATAGAATCAGTATAGACTCAGCCCAAGAGGCGCTACCTCAGAAACTGGAAAAAATTCACATGGCCCTCAAAAACCGTCAAATAGCATATTTGAACGAATTTCGAACTTATAAATTTCGTTTTTATTTAAGGGTCAACGTGCTTGATAGTCCTGCTATAATGCAGTACAGTGAGTGCAAAAAGATGACAAACTATCCGATAATAGGGAGCCCGACCAATTGTTATCAAAGTCATGGAATGAGCTTGTTGAGCTACTTCACCCCTGAAAGGCTTACATCTCGGTACTCTAGGCATGATCCGGTTTTGCAAGACACGAAGGAAAAATGGACTTGAGTCTAGACGCTCAATTAAAATGCATGACATCATGTGAAAGGTTGAACAGAATGATGAAAAACAGGTGTATACCAAATTTTCGTTTCATTACTTTCATTGTCTCGCTTCTAGTATGTCGTACGCTAGAAGTCACAAGATCTCTCTTCTAATTGTGCGGCAATACAGACACTCATAAGATCTCCAACAAAGATCAATGATCAAAAGAATGTACCACTATAAGATCCTGCAAATGCTGCAGCAACTAACTTTTGAACCGCCTGACCAGGATGAAAACTGTTCCACCACAAACAACTCACTCCATTGGTGTTATAACAAACTGCATTTGGAGAACCATAAGCTGTCGGGTTATTTAGGGCTGTGTTGAAGGGAATCTGTAAAGTTGGTGAGTAATACAGCTTGAATCAAGTTAGAATTTTGACGTACTGAAGTATCAATTAATTTGACAGTGGTCCCAGATCTCTCGGATTGGAACTGAGTAGCCGTGTTCTTGACAAGAGTATTCCACGCTGCAATGCTTGAAGCGTACGCCGCTTGTGAAGTACTATTCAATGCTAGAACTCTGGGGGTCTTGTTGGTGGCTATTCACTCCCGTCAATTTCTGAACCGTGATCGTCAAATTAAACACCAGGATAGAGACTTACGTGGGACTGTTAACAATGCAAAATTTCTACCTCCATAGTAATACATTATGTCAAGCTGCTTCCAGTAGGTATCGAAGATCTCCGTGAAGAGTGTACTCTCATTTGGAAAAGTATAACTGAGATCAATATCATTGATACCAAACCATACAGCGAAGAGTGTATTTGCCGAAGTCCATGGGGCATACGACGGTTTCGGTGCAAGATTAGCAGTGAAGATTGCTGTTTGTTCGACGAGCGATTTAGCACCATTTGTAATGGAAGGAACGACATTATCATCCACTGTTGAGCCTCCAACAGCAAAATTATATGATAGTGTTAGAGAGGTGTTATACGCGGTGACCAAATAATCGATCCAATTGAGACCCGCATCTGTTGTAGTGCCCGGAAATGGAGGATTTCCAATCGGATTGTCTGCAGAAGGCTTCGTACCAGTTATCGAGAAGAGTGTGCGTGTGTACGAGTCACCGCTAGCAATATCGATTAATACTGTCCCTCAAACAATATTGGTTTATTCTCACAAGGAAAAAAGATATTTGGTTCCTGTCGTTTGTCTAGGCGAAAAGGAGTTTAGGAACGGGAAAGCTATACAGCTATCGACCAATAAAGGAACAACGAACAGATATTGATATAACATGGCTTAAACTGTAGTTATGAGAGCAAATAGTAACTACCAGATGAACAAAAATTGGGTGAAGATGTGTGATAAAGTATCTTCACGGATCTGGGTTTCATCGTCAACTACAACGATACCCCGCAAATTTCCCAAATTCTCCGTGGCTCAATGGCGATTACGGTTTCCGCAACAAAACTATACCGAAAGCTTACTTATTGGGTAAATTCTGATTGGGACGGAAGGACTGTTAAAGTCGCAATTGAATTATAACCCCCATTGGAGATTTCCCGATGAAGAAAAATATGCACGATGATCGATATAAATAAAGTACGATAAAATCCAGTGCAAAACAAACATTAGCTGAAGCTGAAATGATAATAGAAAAATGCATATCAAATCATAGCGACTGAAGATAGTACCGATTATCGCTCCATGAACAATTACAATTGGGACCTATCTCCATGAATTAAAACTATTCAGTACATGGAGACAGTTTGGGTTTACAGCGCGCCGTCGTCCTCTAAAACTCTGAATGCTCAACTTCAATCGTAAACAAGCAATGAACATTATTTTCTTGGCGGAATAATGGACACATTACATTATGACAAGTTTGAAAGCGGCTATGATTCAAATTAAAGAGATCAAATGATGGGGATGGTGATAATAATAGCGACAATGATGGCGATGTGATGATGATGATGATGATGATGATGGGCAGTCATTATGAGGTTGTTATTTTAAATCTTAGAGTTTCAAACGCGGGACTGGCCTGAAGTTTTAGCCCACAAACATTGATTTAGCGCCCACCCTCAGTGAAGTCTGACAACGTCAATGTAATTAATTTCATTGTATTTTTGTCATCATTGATAACAATTTACAAAAGAATGTCTCTAAAGTCCCTACCCAAATTAGAATTAATAAGATACGTCAATGGCAGACCGATAGAAAGAAGGTTAGTGTTTTGCACAATGAGAGTATAAGACACTACCGAGTGTTCTTCCTCTTCTCGTCGTTGCTCATTCTTCTAGATATAGTGATGTTATTACAACCATTAGCTGACTTAGCAATAGTAAAAGTTGATCTATAGGTTGTGATGTCATGAACAGAGGTATAAGTTATTAGTGATTAGGCTATACTTACGCTAGGTCTATTACGGTCAAAGGGTCTAGCGTCACTCCAACAATTATTCCATGTGTTATAGGCCAATCAAGAGTGAGGAATTCTCCATCGCTAGGTTGTCTTGAGTGATTATGATTCTGGAAAGTTCAAGGCAGCAGGATATCAGTTGTTTTTGGTTTCCAGACAATCCAAATTTCATTTTCAACTGACAACAATTATCCGATCACCAGGCCCAATCATTACTGCCATTTCATCTAAAGTACGGCTAAAGTATACATCGCTCTACCTCAAACCAAACCGAACCATACTCTCTCAACCCATACAAATACTTTGAATGGCCCATAGGCCACAAAAGTGCAAGCTTAAGCACAGGCGGTACAAACAGCATTGACAGCACTCAAGACTTGAAGCGCGACGGTAGCTCCACAAGCAGCAATAACACAATTGGTAGCATCAGTCTCGATCTGAGAGAAGGTAGCTGATGCACATTCACAAGCGTAGTCGTTCGCTCCGCAATATGTCGCAGCGGCTGCATCGATGCAAGGAGCCTAAAATGAGTGTTAGATGGTGAATCGAGGATTGACGAGCATCGAGCGAGGAAATTCTTGAGATAGATTTGAGTGATGGAAATGATGCTGTAGAGGCCAACATAATTGAAGTAAAGAAAGAGACGACTTACGCCGCAAGCAGGCACAGCGGCTACAGCTGCTGTACAAGCAGCACTTTGAGCTGATACGACGGAGGCAGCTCCGAGAACTATCGCAGTGTATGAGAACTTCATGATTTCTGATTGCAAGGAAGGTTTATGTGGTGGATGATTGTGTTGTTGTGTGATTGTACTTTTGAGATTGCGCAATAACAGGTGATCAAGGTGGGATTTCCAACCCTTTTATAATTCTTTGTTTATATCATAGTCCGACTTCCCCGAGCCCTTAGCAGTGAGCAAGCTCTACGAGCACAGTAAATCCAAATCTTGGCATCAAACGGAAAGGAATCCTAGAAGTGAGAATGCGGAGTTCCTAACGTATTTAACCGGGGGTTTGCATTAGCTGTTGCGGATGCGGGGAATCCCTGAACTGCAACAGCCCCCATAATTTTGTTCCTGAAAGGTACACATAGCGAGGGGCCTCAAAGAGGTTTTCCTCGGTACTCACATGTTTCATTGAAGATTCCAGCATGTGAAATGTGCACAACCCAGGATTAAATGGCTGACATGACTCAAAGTGAATAAAAGAACAATCAGCCGATTGAGTTCGCGTTAAGGAACTTCCCAATACTAAATATCGTGCATAGTTGTGCAGATTAACATAGCGAATAATATGATTGTATGTGTAAGATCAACTGGGAAGCTTGGACAATTGTCCGAAGAATTAATCTTTCAGAAATACTGTGGATGATATTTATCACTACTTGCTGATTATGGATAGCTGGATGATAGCTGGATGGTGAGACGGGTGGGCAGATCGTCCGAAATGGCCCAACTTTCCGATACCCCACCATCAATGGGCTTGCACATGAGATAATTTGATGGTGCTGAGTACCGACAGTGGTTAGTTATTTGCCAAAAGGTAGACTTTGAAGGCATGGTTTCGTCAGGCTATGTGCAAAGAGCCAATATGAGATACCATCAAAGTTTGGCGCCTGCCCCTAGTTCTGAATGAACCTTCCATCTTTGAACAAGAGCCAGAGTTTGACACGACTCCTACCGTCTCGGCGTCTATCCGCATCTGAAAAGTATGTAAAATAGGTTACAAGTATAATCATAGCAACAAGATCACAAGGTACATCCAGTTCTTATTCTGATATAATGCCATGCCTATCTTTCGCCTGTGATTTTTGTGGGATGTGACATGCTTCGGGTTCCTAGCATTCAATCCTTTGCAAGTTTGCAATGACCTGGAACTTTCGATTATATTTGGAGGCTTCCCACGATGAAAGTCGTCAATTCAAATGGCACTAGACCTGGTAAAATCAATCGGCCGGACAACCTAAAGCGTCGTTATGTTGAGGTCTAAGCCGGGGAGCTATCAGAACTCTAAAGCTCTCCAACATAAGCATTGGATAGGACTACAGACTACGCTATCCATTCTCAAAGCAGATACCAATAAGGCCTTACATTTATCCAGCAGTAGAATGCATGTAAAATGAATAGACAACGAATTAATTATACACCAATCACGCATGAGACCCTCTGAAAGCAGGAATCTGTAAAAGTTTGGAGGCTCAGATGAATCGTGGAAACATTGCCATACTAGTAGGAATGACTCCCAAGGTATTTCAAGCTTGGAGAATACTATGTGAAGCAATATCACCAACGGAAGAATCGATGCGAAGATATGCATAACCCCAAGCGGAGTAGACAGCTTTAGGACTAACATCTCGAGGCAGGTTTTGAGAGTTATTCTCCCCCCAATGTGTCAATAAAATGAGAGTTCGAGAGCACTTGCTAGACCACACCCAATATAGACGTTTTTCTACCAAAACAGAAATGAGAATTTATCACCTAAGATGATCAAGCGCAAGTAGAAGGTAACTACCTATCAAAGCTTTATGCGGTCAGATCGAGATTGACATTATTCATGACAGCAATTCGACTGTGTGAAACTGCACAAGATAAACGATGGCGGAGGCTGCGGACGACAGAATTTCCATCTTCATGTCCGTCCTACTAATTAATGGATTATCATCAAGGACAAAACTTCCTCGACCTGCCATATCATATGTCCGACATGGATTAAACCATTTCGTGCAGACGACTCTTGACTATATTGCCATCTGGGTATTTCGTATCAGTCCTTTCCCATCCATTCTTGAATTCGTAATCATTGAATGAGGTTGAGGAAGTTAGCAGGTTATAGATGACGTCTTCAATTGCTACCGATTGTCTGCGAAAAACGTAGATACATCTCATTGCAGGTAGCCTTGTCCAAGAATGGAGGTCATGATGATGAGCGCGGTGCCAAATTAGTAGATATCGCAATCCAAGAGATGAATTGCGATATTTTGATACCTTTCCGTTGTACAGCTGAGATGCATGGGCTCGTTGACCACTATTGACTTTGGACTCTCTCTATAGGTCTCTTTCGACTTCCATATATCTATTCTTCGAATATATCTATCAATTGATTTCCGATTAAAAAAATGAGGTATTCAACTTGGAATCAAATCATTGATACTAACTACGAATTTTGTAAGTGATGAGTCCATCAGTCCGTGCACTCACTGAAAGCTTCAATTCGCTGACTCATCATGGCAAATATTCAACCTCACAACTTTCACGACATCCATCTAGGTACCAATTGGAAGAGAGTTGAATTTATATTATCAATATTGGATCTATTATTTGCAACCACCACATGGTCTGACTATACTACTTCTCATCGCTCCGTCATTTCAGCGACAAAATCCCCTGAAACAACCTGCCTCCTAATATCAACATCATCCTCACTCCTCGAATTCGCCAACTCAAACTTTTCTTTCCACCCTATTCATAAAGAAATTGATCGTATCTTTGGCATGATCAATATTGTCATAGAGTATTCTTCTATAAGGTTCGTCCCTTGGATATACTCCCCGTCTCATCACCAGAGTGCGAACTCTTTGAAGTTTCTTGAGTTCACCCAAAAACAGTTTCAAGACTTCATCGAAGCTTCTGACAACATTTGCCAAACTACCCATAGTCTTGCAAACATCCATTTCCATATTCAATACTAGTATATTTATGCTTGTACAAAACTTGTTGAAAAAAGGGATGTATATGCGCAAACTGTACAAAAGATCTACATCATGACAATCGCACACTATGCGTTTCCGCTCATGAGTTCTTGGTGAGCCTGCGAACCGTAAAGTACGAATTGAAGTTCTACTTTGTGGTCCGATCGTGTAGAGAAATCGGAGAAACAGATCGTAACAAGCCCAGCCCTCCAACTTAAGAATTGGGACACGCCTCTCAATCTGATTCATGACATGTTTGATTTTGGATTCATATTGTCTGGCCGACAATTTGACCGTGGAGCCGTCATAGATACCCTCTCTGGATAAGGTAGGTTTATCGGAATTTGGCCAGTGGTAGTTGCTGTCCTTGGATAACAAAGAAGGTGGACGGCCATAAAATATCTTGCTGTTGCCCTTCATCTTGAAGCTGTATGCATTATCTGCATATAACATTTGTAATCCAAGCTCCAGTATTTGCTTGCAAGTACGTAGACATGTTGCGTATATTATAGGGCGGAGAACTCTTGTAAGCTCAACGTACGGAGCTGAGTCAGGAAAGTCTGGTCTAGGACCTACATTCTTGCGAAGAGTCACATTCGAGCCACATTCGAAAGACTTGTAACCGTTGAAATAAGGAGAGTCTGGAAAAGAAATTCGATAGTCTGCTTCAGAGTATGATACACTCCAATTGGAAGTTACTACTGTCGGAGTAACAAACGCTCCGCCTTTAGCAACGAGTGTGTAGGCGAAGATCATCTTCAAGATTTCTGGTTTTGATTAGAGATTTGAGGTTCCAGAATTAGGTTCAGGCACATACCTTTTGGAAAAAATTAAAAGATGGAATCGATGAGTCCTGGGAAGATTCCATCCAGGCTCGCTTTGACGGGTGCCTAACAATCTTCGAATTTCCTTAATCTCGTTTGAGGTTCGATCGACGTCTTTAAGTGGACGAAAAAATCCGAGATAGAAAGGACCTAAAAGGAGTATCCCGGATTGCCTTTTTCAATGTGGTAAAATTTTGAGTTCCAGCAGTCTGCTGTATCACGGAAATAATAGAGATCTAAATACGGATAATGATTAGTAGTGTTATTTCAGAATCGGTCAGAATACTCACCAGTGTTGTAACAGTACACCGTCGACAGTGAAAGGTAATTGCGACAGCCATCTTTCATGGTTGTTCTGAAGTTCGATGCATCATGTGATGCTCATTCTCCCCGGCTTATAGGTAGTTTAGATGTACAAATCCGGTCAGATTCCATGAAATAATCCATTCATTTTGACAACAAATTCCAGATTTCTGTTTGAATATCAAATTACAGATTTTATTAAATAATTCTGTTTTTAATATATTTAAAATATTAAATAAAACTAAGAGTCCAATTTTTAAATAAAAAAATATATATCAAACAACCTATTAAGTAATCTAATCATTTGTATAAAAACAGATTGAAAATAATAATTTGAAAAAACAATTATTGTTTTCAATTATACAAAAAATCTGCAATTTTCTAAACTCTTCTAAACTTTTATAATCTAAAACTCAAAACTTATATTATCTATATTAAAAGCTCATCCTGCGAGTTTATTCGCTAGAAGTTCCTTCTGTTACGGGAGCTGCCTCTAGGGTCACGTGGAAGTGTCTAGAGATCTCTCGAGGTGGTTTAGACTAGACTTCAAGTAGGAATTCAATAAGGTTGTAACTGGTTGCAATTCTCGTAACTATAGTAATGAAACTAATGATTGTTCTTGAGCACGAAGTTTTCCTTTTAAGAAACCCTTTCCCTTATATAGACCTTTGCACTCTGCGATCCCATCGATCCCACTCACTGAGAGTAGTGGGCGTAGTGGGATCCCACTGATCCCATTGATAATAATCGGTGGGACTGATGGGATGGTCCATCACGTGATACTAGTCCCGTGAGTCTTGTCGTCCTGTCTTATTTCCTGTCCTAGGGCTAATCCCTTGGGAGCTTACTAATCCTAGCAAGACCTCTCTTGCTTACTGTGTCCTGTATTGCTTATTCTTCTTAGGACCCTACTGTCCTAGGAACCATGTCCTATGATTCAGTGTATTCTATAACTAATACTATATACATGCCTGAGGCTTTCCTTGGGTGCCTAGTGTCCCCCGGTATACTGCAGCTGAATCACTGAGGCCTATAATACCATTATAGCCTATAAGTCAGTGATTCTACAGCCTGTTACTAATCCGTTGTAACACCTTCCTATACATAAATAAAACGATCATGGTGTGACCTTCCTATAAATAAACCCAGTCATTTTCTTCGAGGTTGCAACCTGAAGAATCAACCGATACCAGCCAGCTGAGTGCGCAAGCACCTCAGCATCAAGATATATTAGGTCATTGTATGAACGTAGGTGAACGACTTCAAGTCATTAATCTACCATAGTACGCTAAGCAAGTGGACTAGCCTCAAAGCATATAAGAATTGCTTCTTCCCGTATATAACTAGCTCTTTAGATAGAATACAATATTGGCATTAGGACCTATCATTGTAGGTACTAAGTCATACATATCCTTCTCAAACCAATAGTTATTTAACTTTATATCTGTGTTCTACTAAGATTATACCCGAAAGTATCGTAAAAAATATTACAAATGTACCTGTTGAGAAGCTCGCTACCAACATGAGATCATACAACCAAAAAGGTTACAAAATACCTAGAAAACAACCGAGAGTAACCCTGGAATAGTCAATGCTTCCGCTCAAACAGTAAAGGAAAAAATCCTCATATATAATCAATTCTTAATCTAACACGTGTATAAGCAAGTTTGTTGTACCGAAAAGTCAACTTCATACTAAATCACATAGATGTAAAAACTACAAGTGTTGATTAAGAGACGTGAATATGGAAAACGAATCACCTGGTTGAAAAGCAACATCCGCATACAGAGTTCTCAGAACATCCAGTGAAACTATAAATGAACCATTCTTAATTATTCCTCAAAATGGCTTGTAAGAAGATATTACAAACTTCACGCCCAAAACAATTATTTGCAAAGGAATTGGGGTATCCTTAGCAGCAACGCTTCATCGAATAAACAATTAGAAGCACCTAGGAAGCATATGTAAGACTATTATCAAGATCAGAGAGGACCGAAAGATAACATTCTCCCTAAGATACTGAATGAAAAACATCGCCCTATGAAGTAAATCCTCACAATTCAGCATATACATATGACCAGTAAAAGTCTCAACATATGAAAGGGGTAATCATTAGCGATGCTTTTTGAGAATCGTGCATCTGAATAGACTGTGTACCAACTTCCGAGTTCATTGAACCCTCCACCCCCCTTAACTAAAGAACACAGATATATCAAAAAGTACACCACCAAGCTTCAAGCAGATACACTTTCCAAATCTATCCATTCTTCCATACACATAAACCTCCCAATTTTCATGTCCAAGCGCAGCGTATTCAAACCTCAAGAATGATAACCCTCCAGGATAACCATCAATGTAAAAATGGCAAGAAAATATATCAAACTTGAAAATAATGAACGCAAGAGAATCGAATCTCTCAACTGGTTCTGTTGGAAAGTTTACAATCTCTGATATGTTTCTGGTTGTAAGAGAAGATAATGTAGGAGATGTTGTTTGAATCGATCTTGAAGTCTTGGTATAATATCAAGAGCATGGGAATAAAACGGGTGTGATGGTGAAGAAGTGGCTTATTAAAGACTAGGAACAGGATCAGGATGAAATATTCTCCAAGGAGTTCCCGGCTGTGAACTCTGTTTCAGATTCTATTGCAGACTCTATTGCAGACTCTATCATAGACTCTATTACAGACCTAGCGAGCCTGTCAATCAGGCTAACCTATTCAACGGAATAAATTCTCTCAAATACTCTCCCACAAGCCCCCTCAAGCACCAAAAAGGAATGAAGCCACAGAAGCCAACAAAAGTTGTGCCAACAAAGAGCGAATAAATAACCTGAAGTCATTCATGGCCTACAATGAAGGAGCGAGTCCCACAGCAAGGCCTATTCAAGGATTGCTTCTTCTTCATCAGTTAGCTCGTTAGAAGTAGATACATATTGACAACCAGAACCTACATTTTAGGTTCCACATGATTCATATCCTTCTCAAAATAACAGTGCCGAAGATGCTAATTAGCACTTCCAAAGCAGCCCTTATAACAGCCCCTAATAGATAGACTGAATCGATTAAGAATTTACTACTACTATAACAACCCCCAACCCTATTAACTCCAACCAAATCGACATTACAATCCTGTAATCAATATAAACAAACAAACACACAAATGGATTTTCCACAAAACACTTTACATAGCTCTAGTAAGCCCCCTCCCCACCTAAATCACAAATAGTACCTAGCAAGCGCGTTACGGAGCCAACCAGAGAGAGATAAGTGAGTGGAAAGGAGTCGTGAAAGGGGAAGCGGAGCTTTGACATGGATCATCATTATTTGCACCTATTTTTTTTATTTCGTTGGGAATAAGTAACATTGATGTGCCGATGATTAAAGCTATTTAAATAAAACGAAATGTAGGTGTTCATAGCTTGAATCAATTGAATATTCTAGTCAAATTCGATGCCTAAGTACCTAATTTCCATGAACTCAACAATCTAACCTATCTACATTCTCTCTGACATTCAGTAATATGAACCAGTCAAACTTGCCGAGTAAATCTGACTTTGAGGATTGGATGATTATTCTACCTAATTACATTCCATGACTTTAATCTCACAAACAATCCAAACGCCCTCAACCGTCCAAACTAGCCGAATAATCAAATCGAGATCAATAGACCCATAATATTCCATCACTCTAACCTTCCAAGCGGTCAAAATGAGCCCATCAAATCATCGAACTATCTAAACTTCAAATCAAAAATCAACAAGTAAACACTCCAACCCATCTGAATGTTCTCATCGTCTTCAAATTTTTGGAATCCGGAAAAATCGCAAGCAATTTAACCCTACCCATTATCAAACTCTACCCAATTGTATTTAATTATCCCCTTCAGTATCGACCACTTTGACCCTTTTTATCATCAAATCACACCTCGGACTATCCAAGCATTCCATATTATGCTATCTAAAATCAATCAATCATCCCTTCATCAACCCTCATCCAAACTGCTCAAACGTCCCATCCCATCCCATCCCATCCATCTCAACTCCCTCTCACTATCGCATTAATACGCTGTTAAATTATTATATTACTATACTCCCCTCCCTGACATCTCACCCAAAGCAACCGCCCCCTTCCACTAACACCCTACACTATACGCCTTCCCTCCCTCTCTCCCTGCTGTTGGTTGTATCGTAAAACTTCCTGTCCACTCCTCACTCCTCACTCTAGCTCCTCTCCTCTCCCTAGCTCCTCTACTTCCCCACTCTTCAACACCTCTACTTTCTAGCTTTTCAATCCCCAATTCCCTCAGCTTCTCCATTCCTTTCCTTCTCAACTCCTTTCCTACCCAATCCTCAGCACCTCTACCTAGTAACTTCTACTTTCTTAGTTCTCTAACTCCTCACTACTTTCTCCCCACTTCTTATCCCTCTACTTCTCTACTCTGTATTAACTAATCTATCATTCCTCACTCCTGACTCCTCACTCCTTATTTCTTACTTATTACTCCCCAGCTCCTCATTCCCTTATCTCCTCAGCTCCTCTACTGTCTAGTTTCTTAATTTCTTAATTTCTTGATACCTCACCTCCCCAGCTACCCAACTCCCCAGCTCCTCATTTCTAAAGTATCTAGATTCTCCACTCCACTCCACTCCCTTCATATTCATCATCACCAAGGTATTTGCTATTCCGCTACAAACGAGATCAAACACATCAATTTTATTTAATTCTTATGTAATTCTTATGTAATTTTTAAAATGATTTATAAAATATTTCTTCTATATACTATCATATAGTATTTAATTAAGACATTCTAATAATAATATTCTCTGTATTTTATAATTCATATAGGAAATATTTTAGATATCGAATTTTTTTATTAAATCAGAGCTGTTTATATAAACAAAATAATTTTTAATAATTTTAATAATTTTAATAATTTTAATAATTTTAATAATTTTAATAATTTTAATAATTTTATTTTCTAATAAATCTTTTATAAATCAACCCTGATCTTTTGATAAATATCCAATAATATTAATGAAATATTTCAATATTACCTATATATAAAATAAAAAAGATCGAATGAGATCCTTAAAATAAAATTACTATCCCTCTTTTTATATTTAATTAAATTATGAATCAATTATTAATTATATTAATTATTTTATTATGTAATTGAGCTCCTCTGACCTAGGGCTATATAATGATATATAGAAAAGTGATTTTATAAATCATCTTAAAATAAGTAAAAATTTAAATAAAAATTAAATAAATTTAATGTGTTTGGCTGTCCTCGTCTGTAGCTCCTCAGATCCTCTACTGTTCCGCTTCCAACTTCCTATATCAACAATCCCCTCTCCAAATACCACCAACATCAAAATCAATAAACTAACCCATCTCATCCACTCCATCCACTCCCCAACTCACCTCTTCTAACCCATCAAACCCATTTAACTCATCTCATCCCATTCTATTTATCCAATACAAATCCCATCCCATCCAATTCAACATTCAGCACACCAATCCCACCTAACCCCTTCTCACTATCACACCACTACATTTATCACTCCTTCGATAAACCCACTAGCCCATCCATCCTTTTCATTCAATCAATCTAATCCCTCCCTATCAACTTTCCAACTCCCTCCTACATCTTCATCTTTACATTCCCACTTCCCACTCCTCACTCCTCAACTCCTTGGTTCCTCTTCTTTACTACCTCAATACCTCAATACCTCATCTTTCTATTCTTTCTTCTTCTATTTGCCGGCTCCTCAAACTTTAATCTTTGGGAGACTTTAATTCCTTAGTTCCTAGCTGCTTAGCTTCTCAGTTCCTCGGTTCCGCAGCTCCTCTATTACAATCCAAACCCGAAAATTCCAACATCAATAATTACCTACCTATCTCTCTACCTACCTTCTCACCCACCCACCCAACATATAAACAAAACACACACACTAATCACTCACTTCTCAACATCTACTAAACATATACATAATTACACATAATATAAATTCATTCTACTACCAAATTATTCATCATCCACATTAACAAAGAAAACTAACATCCAATATCCAATATTCCCCCTCTCCCACCTCCCTCCTACCACTCTTCCTGCTCGCGCTCCGGGTATCATTCTAGAACTATTAAAGAATATGTATGTGTGTAAAAGAACCACTCTCAATATCAGCGGTAAAGGCAAAAGAAGTATTTGAGTCCCATCCCACCCATCTCTCCCTCTCCTCCCCTTAAGTATTCCCAAAACTCAAAAACTCAAATCGCAATAGAAATTGTAAAAAGAAATTAAAAAATGAAAAAAGAAATATTTTTTCTAATCAACGTCCGAATCCTCCACTATAGATTCCAGCCATCTCATCCACTGTACTTTCATCATCATCATAGAAACCTTCCTCACTTCCAAAATCCCCCAGTTCTTCACCCAAACTCATTCCCAAACTTGGTTGCCCAAGTGAACTTCCACGTCTAATTCCATTACCCAACTCAACATGATTTGACACTACAGCATCAGTATCATAGCTACTTCTCGACATCATTGGTGGAGTCGCTGGTGCTTCTCGTCTAACTGGTACTTTGTCTGCACGCCTGGGTGTTGCAGTTCTCGAACCAAGTCCACCTTGCCTAGCAGCGAATCGTTGACTTGTAGCATTGAACGCACTTAGTGCATTATCTCGGACAAAAGTAGTTGGTTCCCTACTAATAATTACTGGTGGAGGTGCTCCAGGAGTACTAGGAAACTGTCTGGCATTACTAGCGGGTGGTGTCATTAATCCAGTAAGGAACCCAGACGAACTTCCAGCTTTCGATGGTGTTGAGCTACCGCTTGAATTAACATTGCCATTGCCACCACTCATGAGAGCATTAGAATCCTTTGATTGATTCTTATTTCTCCAATTTCCCCAAGCTGCGGCAAGTGGTCCTACGGCATTTGCAACTTGTGCAACTCGTGGGCTAGCTGCGATGGAAGCCGCGATGGTAGGAAGATTGATAGCCGAGCCACCATTCATAGCTCTTTCACGCTCTTGTTCCTCCATCTGAAGATTGGCACTCAATCGAATAGCGGCATCGCGAACATTATCTGGATTATATGTTCCTTTCGATAAGGCCTGCACAATATCCTGAAGATCACTCTTGCGTACGGAAAGAAGTTCTCTTAGCCAACTAATCTCATCATCACGTTTACTAATCTTTGTTGAGGCGTCAGGGTCCACATCCATCAATTTCTGTTCAAGATCTTCAATCTTCAATTCACGATCTTGTAATTGATCTTGTAGAACCATGATAGATTCTCGAAGTGCTTGTGGTGAGATTTTCTCTGGCACATCCAATCCACGCGTAGAAGCTTTTCGTAGAGATGGCGATGGTAAAGAGCCAGCTACACTTGCAGATCTTGCAGCTTTAGCATGAGTAGCAGCGGCTTGTGCAGCAGACCTGGCAACCTCCAATTTATCTTCCAAATGACTAACACGATCTTGAAGATGTTCTGTTTTGGCCGTGCTCAAACTCAATCGCTCCAAAAGATGTTGCTCTGATCTTTGAGCATCCACAATAGTATTCTCAAGTTGTCGCTTCAATTTATCTTGTAAATCCTCAAGTTGATCTTGATGCTTTCTTGTGATGTCATCAAACATGTCTTTCTTGGCAGTTTGGGCAGCTTCTAAAAGCATATCATGTTGTTCCTTTGCAGTCTCGGCATCCAATTTAACAAGATCAATCTCAGCTTGAAGCCTAGAGATTTGATTCTCGAGTTCTTCTCTGACAACATTGACCTCATTATTGGCAGTCTCAACCTCGACTTGCATGTACTTTCTGGTACGTGCAACTTCACCCAAGCCAGATTCGCGAGCCTCCTCAAACTCTCTCTTGTATCTCATAACATCTTTATGGGCAGCATGATTTTCATTTCGGAGTTCAATGACGAGAGCTTCCAATCTCTTACACTCATTAATAGCTCTCATACCTTGTCTCTCGCCACTTTCCAATCGTTCAATTTCCAGTTCGAGCCGTTCCCTTGTCCTAGCTTCGGCATGAAGTTTAGCATCAAGGACTTCCTGTCTGGCAAGTAATTCCTGTTCCTTCTTGGCACGATGAGAGTTTTCTTGTGAAATGTTTCGGGCGGCTGTGGCCATATCCTCCTGCAAATCCATTAATTTCGATCTCATGGATTCGCGGACTCGGATACTTTCCTCCATCTGGTTCTTCAAGGTCTCGATGGTCCTCCTGAGGTCCCTATTGGTTTCATTGGCTTGTTCCGCATCCTCGCTATGTCTCTTGGCGGCTTCCATGGCTCCTTCGGCTTCCAGTTGCCATCTGTGCGCTAACGAACGTGATTCTCGTAATTCGGATTCTGCCATGTGGATCGTGGCAGTAAGATCTGCTTCAGTCTTGCGAGAGTTCTCCTGGGCAGCTTCTAGAAGAGCGATGCGCATGGTTGTCTTATTTCTTGACTCTTCAATCCCTCTCACCTTATGATCACGGTCTTCCGCAATCTGTCGCATCTTCGCATCCTTTTCCAACATGGCGTCATGAAGTCGATCTTCCTCCTCGGATGAGACACGAAGTAGACGTTGAGCTTCAGCCAGACGATCTTCAGCCTTTCGTCGGTTGACAAATTCAATTTCGATCTTTGAACTCTTTTCATCGACAATTTGTCGTAATCGAGTTTCTTCTTCCAAAGAACTCGCCAAAAGTCTTTCTGTCATAGCTTTGGAATCTTCAGCAGCTCTACGCTTCTTAATTTCTTCCTCAACCCAATCATCAGCCCGATGAAGCTTTTCCTCCAGCTCGGAGATTCTAGCTCGAGCACTCTCTTCCATCTCAATGTACCTAGAGTGGGCTTGTTGCTCAAGAGCGGCGATTTTTGCTTCAGCCTCAGCTAGTTGAATAGCAGAAACATCATCATTCTTGACCGAATCGGGTAATTTCTTTTCAACAACTTCTTCAACAGCCTTCTTGAGGTCTTCCACATTTAAGGCTGGTCTTGAGGATTGAGTGAAATGTTCCTTCATTTCATCCAGAGCTTGAAGAACACTACGCGAGTCAGGCAACATCGATGCAGTTATTGGGGTAATGGCAGTTTGAGGTCTCGACGAATGAGTGTTCAAAGCCTCCAATACGACCATTCTTATCTTCTCCAACTTTGCGTTCCTTCTTGGACTAGCAGATCTTCCAGGTTCCTCATCATCTTCATCATCAGCATCGCTAAGCGCACCAGACATGCTGCGTTGTTCTCTGCGATGTGATTCGGGTTTAATGGAATAAGGTAGCGCTTGCAAAGAATCTGTAATACCTTCCAAAATTCTTTCGATTGGATCCAATCTATCGGCCAACAATGAACCAACGATATCGTTAACACGATTATCAAAAAAGCCAATTCTTTCGTGAAGTTTAATCTCCTCGCCCTCACTGAGAACATCATCCCAATCGCTAACTGGAAGACTATGTCCAGTATTGAGACGATGAATGGGTGATCCAAATGCAACAGTAGAATGAGGATCCGCAAATGGATCATCTTCAGTTCCCATATGAGAGTACACTCTATCAGGAGACATATCACCAAATTGACTATCATCAGCGTATCGTCTTAAACCTGGACTTGGACTTGGAGCATCGCTCCGCATAAGATTGGGATGAAGACGAATCGGAGATGACATCGAAGGAATCTGTATATGTCTTCGCGGACTCGTTTCATGCCATCTTGGAGTATCATCTCCGTTAGAGACTGTAGCTGGTGATCGTTCCGTTGAATTAAGATGTCTCATAACCGCGTCAATCTCCTCGAATGTTGGATCCTGATCCTCTCGAATCTCACCCTCCTCCAATTCAGAGTCTACATCGTATTGCGGTGGACTTTGAGGTCCTGGCAAAGCATTTTGGAAATCATTCACTTCATGAGGTCGTAAGGTTGGTGATTCTGAATCGGGTACCCGAGGCGGCGATGGACTATTAGCATATCTCGAGGCTGCGAGGCCACCAATCTTTGGAAGAACCGGAGAAGCTGGCGCGAGTACCGGAGCTTGACTTCCACCAAAAGTAAAAGCAAAGTTCTCCTTTGGTTGATTCTCGAAAGATTTATCAGCCGCAGACACAGATGATGACATTTGCCTGTGACCAAGTTGACTTCCACTTGCATTTGATGCTGTCTGCGAGTGTAAATCTTGTTTAGGTGCAGTCTCATCGGCACCTTGTGTATCATCTTCCGAGTCGACGGTGTCAACTCCATATCCAGGAAGACCAGATTCATATCTTTGTGCGGTGAATGGAATTGCAGCATTGAAATCTTCCGCTTGCTTTTGTTGTTGGAATTCAAATGGCGAAAAGTCCGCACCACTGGGTGGCTTACCGTTCACGTTAGCGGTAGGTAATTCATCTGCACTTTCATTCGAAGGTGCAAAGTTTTCCTTATCATCATCAATAGAAGAAACATTGGGCAATTTTGAACTTGACTGTTCTCGAGTAGTCTCTTGAAGAGGTTCACTTGGCTCAGCAAACAAAGGTACTGAATCTCCATCATCATTATCCCTACGCATCCTCTTGATATTGTTTGGGTTTTGCATCGGGCGGCCGTCTTTACCTTCCAGCGTTTCTTCGGTTTCTTCAGTCTCTTTCGAATGACTACTATCAGGACGAACAATAGGAATCGCTTTCGACTTCTTGGAAGGTTTCGAAGTGCTAAGAGAATTCAAGTCGAGGCCACCAAAGATGGGGTTTTGGGGAGCTTCATTTCCAGATGCTTCACCCGTAGAAGTGATAGAGCTTGAAAAGCTTGGAGTAAATGTTGGTGCATCAGGTCTAAAGCTCGGTCCCTGAAAGTTAAATTCGCTGTGTCCTGGTACGAATCCCGGCAAGTTCGGAGAAAATACTTGCGCTGGGGCATTCATTTTACCGAATGAATTCTTCACAGTGTGATTGCCAGAAAGTCCGGGTGCACTAGGTAAAGGCCCTTGATGCGCAAATGGTACATAATTAACAGCTGTGTGTGCTGGCTGAAAGTTGCCACCAGTGAAAGAGAATTGATTCGGTTGGAAAGAGTTGGCTGGATTGAAATTGAAAGGGCGCGCTGCGACATTTAATGTTGACATAGATTGCTTGTTGGCACGATGAATAGGTTGGTTGATCTTCAATTGAGTAGATGCAGCATCAAGCCATGGATTAGTCGACATAGAAATGTCCCTATCATGACCAAACGCAGGTACACGATTTTGTAAAGTCGGTGTACCCATATTGCTAGGATTAGTCTCAACGTCAGACAAGTCGTATTTCGCATTTTCCTTCATACCGCGTAATGCAGTCTTCGATTCACCACTCGAAGTATCGTGCTCAGAATCCTGGAATGGGCGTTGAGATAGGGAATGGCCGCGACTGTGAGGTTGCGGGTGATGAAGTACGGGTCCCTCTTCAGTTGTTTCTATTGTAAATCGGGAGGATCCGAGTCCACCACCAACAATTGAAGTATTCCTCACGTGAGGTACAGGTTTGTTCTCAAATTGTTTATCCATTTCCCCATGATCGGAGTGAGGACTATAATCATCACCGTCAAGCTGTCTTTGAAACTGTTCCTCGAGATGATACTCAGCATCATCAATTTCTCTCTGTAAGCTTGCGCTCGCATTATGCTTGATGTTTGGTTTAGCTTCCAAGGTTGGTGTCTTGGATGGACTCTTGCTTGGAACGGGCACTTCCACTGTTTGTTCATCTTCGCTCTCACGGACTTCTTGCAGACTTGGAGATGCACGAGCACGGGTACCTGCTAGCAATTGGTTTTGCATGAAAACTTGTCGTGACATGGCATCACTAGGGCCTTGTGGAAAGTAACCATCCTGAGAAAGAGGTGAAGCGGGCGATCTGATAGAGCCCAAATTATGCATTGAAGGAGACCCACTTCTATGTCCATGCTGATATAGCAATTGTTGTGGAGACCAAACACCTGGGGATGAGGTTGGTTGTGGATATTGAAAAGGTGATCCAAAAGGATGATCCCCATTTCCAAACGACACCGAATTGTGTCTCATACCACCAAGTTTTCCATGCAAGTGCGCATGCATTGAAGCAGGAGAAGGAATAGAGCCTTGATTAGAACTTTGACTTGTGGATAAACCATTGCCGGGCATCAAAGCGGGAGAGAAAGGAAGATTAGAATTATGAGCCATATGGCTACTCGCTGCCGACGAAGTTGGTATGGGAGGTGAAAATGGCAATGGTGGGTATTGCATTGAAGTGCGACGACTCAAACTTGCTATCGCTGGTGATATTATAGGAATTGGGTCCTCATCTCCCAAGGAAACACCCAGAGCTCGTAATTTGGCTTCTTTCAACTCTTCGACATAAGCGTCCCATTCTACATTAATCCAATCCATTAGTACCCGATCATCACAAGTGATATGACAATGACACCATAAAAATGCATGTTCCATACTCCATACTTGGCGCAAAAATTATCTCGCGTAGTTCAAAGAAGCAATTAAGGAATGGAAGGGGGAACGCCACAGATTGGTATGAAGGGATGATTTTTTCCACCACATCTGACCCTCTCCATCTCAATTTCAAGAAAACAAATGACAAATAAAACCTCTATCTTACCGCTCTTGTCAGGAATACTGACTCTGAAATTTCTCTGATCTCTCTCAGCATCCACATCCGCCATGAGCGGCCAACCATTTCGGCTCTGACCGGGACCTCCTTCACCTCCATCATCAGAGCCAAGGTTGAACCCACTGGTATCATAACCCAATTCCTCCCAATCTTTCAGCATACCAACCACATCTTTTTGTGTCATGGGTTTTGGTGCCCCTCCCCTCTTACCGCGATCTTCATCCCAAGGAAGTAAAACCAAGATATTTTTTCCCTTCCACGGGACTTTCTTCTTCAACCGTGGCGCGAGCGGGGTAGTGGGAGATGGCGTCGGATTAGGCAGAGCTTTGGCTGCCCATTGTGCCATTAGAGGTGGAGGAGGAAGAGGTTTCTCGTCTACTGGTGTATGATTTGCCGAAGTTCTCTGCAAACCATTTTCATTTCTGGCGGACATATTGGAGGATTCGTTGCGTACTGAAGAGGCAATATCTGCTTGTGTCAAAGTTTCCCCGGTATCCTTTCTTCGATGACCACTTCCGAAATCCCACCTTGGCTCGTGACTCGGTTGTGAAGGTCTTTGTAAAGTGGGAGTTCTGGGATCGGATTCTAAAGCCGAAGAATTCGCTGCGCCCCCTGAGATTGATCCGCTCAATGAAGAGTTCTCACTTTCTCCAGGATCGTCACTGAGCCAGTTGTTCCTTTCGGTTGATCCGCCGCCTGTATGTTGACGTATCCAATCTTCCGTCAATCGATGTGCTGGACGTCGAGCTCGGTTGGCTAGTACGGCTGCGCTGATGAGACCGTCGTGGGACACAAAATCCGGTTCTGTCTGGGACCTTGTGAAAGCTGGAGGAGGACGCAAGAACGGCGTGTGCAACTCAAGATGACGAATTGGCAGATCTTCCGAGTCTTCTGAAGCTTCACTGTACGCACTTCGATAGAGTGAACGACTTCCAACCGAAGATCCTACTGGGTGCTGATACGGAGATCCCCAACTAGCTGTAAAGAATGCACTCGTGTCCGTTCGAGGTTCTGATGGCGGGCGTGAAGGCGGAGTTCCAAAAAGATCGATGGTATGACCGTAAATGGTTGGTTCTGGTAGAGGTGGAAGAATAGGAGACGACCCTCCACCCTCAGCTGTTGAAGTAGTTGACAACGCAGGAGATTTCGATGGATCAGGATATTGTAGTTCGAATCCTGCGTCTGCTGTCGTCGTACGAGGAGGTGTTGAAATCAGTGATTGAATGTTGACTATGAAAGGAAGAACATGAGCGGATGAATGAAATTCATAGGTTCATAGGAATAGAAATTCCAAATCTCCAGTATTTTGCCGAATGAGGGAATGAGAAATGAGGATGCAGGCGGATAACAGGAATAAGAAGAAAATCAAAGTAATAAAAAAAAGGAACAAAAACCACTCACCAAAAGTTTTAGAGAACAGGGCAGACGATATTATATTCGTCTGTCACTGTATCTCTTTCAAGGTTCCTTTTGATTTTCAAAGTAAAATCAACAATTATCCAGTACCTGTTCTTAAATTATGTGAGATGCCTTTCTTCACTCGGACTTCTTATATTATATGTTGTTGGGGTATTTGGGTTGTGTTTGTTGATAAGAGTGAATTGAATGTAAATACAAATTCGACTCTCATTTCACTTCTTCACTGCGTCCATTACCATGCTGTACAGACAGAGTACATTGTAGTAGGCAATATTTACCATTTACCGTAGAATTGTCGCGACGCGTTCGGTAATTAAAAAAAATGAATGGAGCGAGTTAAAGCTTCGGGGTCCCTTGGGGTTGGTTGGCTGACAGGGAATTCGAGGAACCGGGGGATCTGAGTACAAATTATACCATATAAAATAGTAATAAAGGTGTACTTCGAGTTGCAGGTGAGGTCAATAAGTCAGAGAATGAAGTTGTGTTGTAGTCGAGAGAGAAGTATTAAGTCATCAGTATCTTATGAATTCAATGATAGGATCATGAAGATATGATATTGACCATTAGGAATTGGTTAAAGAAGCAATATGGGAAAGAGAGAGTCTTGCTGGCAACTTTTATTGATAGACAGTACGAGAAGAATTGTAATCTTACCGGGGAAAGGAAAAGGAACATCCAACAGCCAACGACCAACGAAAGAAGTATATAATAAGAAAGAGACGTGATACCACCTACCCAGGTAGGTAGTATTGTACAGATAAACCTCAATACGAAGGATCCGGTACTTTTGTAGAGTCCAGAGCCTCATAACTGAAACTAACTGATTCTTATTTATCTTACCTACCTACCTACCTACCTACTTACCTACAAGCCTTCCTAATCTCGATATAAATTGTCTAGTCATTGCTAACTACCCTCGAGCTACCTACTAGGTAAGTGATTATCGCTACTCGAATACTTATTATTATATATACATCACACACAAAACATCAGATATTCTTTCTTACCCACCTAGATATTACAAGTACTCCTCCGAGTCCCTATATCAAATAGTTTCTCCAAAGAGATCTAGCATGTTGCAAATTCCCAGAATAGAAGAATCAATCAATCAATACCTAATGAGTAAATGCATTGACAGCAGTAAAGGGGGGTTTGATTAATACTAGGTAATTATCTCTTTTAGTTCTCTTAGGTTCGAGCACCATGAGCGAGTCAATATATTGATTAAAGAAGTCAACCATAACATAATAACAATCACTATATCAAATTAACTATCTAAATATATAGTGAAAGATAAGACGCTCCGCTGGCCCTCCGGGAGCCACTGCCGTGGAGGCAGAATAATTCCACCAATTTAATCCTAATCCTTATATATCACACACCACACACCAGATTCAAACCCCAAACAAACAAATACACAAATAAGCAACACATCTATCTATCTTCAATCCCCCCCAAATCCCCCCCATCAACCTCGGAAGTATTACCATCTCACCCGGGTAATCATAAGTTCACAACCAAGCAAAAAAAAAAACGTGGAGCTATCCCATTAGTTCAGGGTCTTTTCACGGACAGCTACAGAACAGCTACCAACCACTATCTAACACCACAGCTAACGGTCCGACCCGCAAAAGATACGCCATCCATATGCGTGGTCTCGGTTGCAGAGCCACATTATTCATTTTTCACCATGATACATGAAACGAAGATGAGGGACGCGAGAGGGGCAATTACGAAGAAAGTTTCAATGGCAAATTCAAAAATATGCGCAAACATGGAGATAAATCTTTAAATCTTCGTTCCTTGCATGAGAAATTTTCCCTAGGGCAGTAGATGAGATCAGAGATGATGCACAAAGGGCGTTGCCAAGCCAGCCTGACATTCAAAAGAGCGGAGAAACAAGAATAAAACAAATGGTATCTCGAAATCCAAAGCTAACAATCTCATCGCAAATTTACAATCCTATTCTTCTCCCATTTTAATATCAAATCAATATGCGAGCGAACGATTCCCCCATATTATCTACGAATCTTCCCCTTGCTCCATGCAGACCCAGACGATGCTCTCGGAGCTCAGGATCTAACAGCTCAAGGAGTATTTGCTGCTTCGGTCACTGTTCCACACTCCCCAGTGAGTTTCATCTGCGACGGATCCATCGGCACCGGTAGATACTGGCTTCCATGGCTCATCGAATGCCTCGAAGGAGAAAACATTTACACCCCAATCCATTATGCCACAGATTGCTTCACTCCAGAAGGTTTGTGCAGACGATGTGCCCGGGACGGCGTTTTGATATTTTGAGCCTGCTGTTGGCCAACCTATTTAGAAATCATGTTAGCATATGTATAAGATATGAAAATAAAAATTAGACTATGGCGTTGAAACATCACGCCCAGGATAACTTCAGGTCCTGTAACCTCGAAAGTAGATGCAAAGAAATATATCATACCAGTCTCTCCAACCCAAAGTTCAGGTCCATCACTAGAAGATCTAGCCACTTCCTGAATATGACCAAAAGCCTGCATGATATCATCAAAGAAACTATGCGTCGCATTCTTCAATTCTTGTCCCTGCCAATAACTGAAAGCATTGCACAACAAGATATCCGCACCACCTTTAATCACAGCATCAGCCGTCCCATCCATATACTTATTCCAACTATCCGCCGTTCCAACCTTAAAGTCTCCATTCAAAGCCTTCTTAACATCCTGAATCTTCTCGAGAAGCTGTTCACCGGTGAAATTTCCACGATAGAGCGATTCCGAACCAACAGTGATAGCATAAACCTGCTCGCTATATTGAGGCGCATACTTGACTACAGCTGCCTTATCCGCAGCGAAAGATTCATCGGTATCTGGCCTGATTCACATTATTAGCTGACCATCCCACATCCAAACAACCAATTCTCGTGAATCACCATACCAAATACCCAGCACGACCTTGAAGCCCTTCGACTTCGCAGCCGGCAAGATTTCCTTCGCAGTATCGCAATCGCTTGCTGCATATCCTCTCACGATCCGAGCAGTGCTCCCTTTGGCAATCGTATCGAAATCCGCTTCATAGTCGGCTGTAAATTTACATGTACCATCCGTCTTCTTATCACCGAGGGCAAATCCCAATGTACCTGCTGCAGTAGCAGTGGACAGAACTCCAGCGAGTGGAAGAAGAGTTGCGAGGGAGCGCATCGTAGTTTAAGGTTGTGGGTTAAGGTTAAAAGGACTGTGGGGTGTGGAGATGGAGGGAATGCGCGTTTGGCTGTTTGTTTACGTGTATGTGCAAAGGGAAAGTAAATAAAAGAATGACTTGCGAATCAAATCGACTGATAATTCATGGACTGTTTCAATACTTAAGGAGTGGCAATTGCGATGGCAAAATGGATGGTGAGGTGAGTGAGGTTGGTTGATAAATTGTATGAGAAAGTTAATTGAGATTTGAAGTCGTGCAGTATCAAGGGGGATTTTACGCTTTGCCGGAATGGATTAATTGGAGAGATTGGATGGCTTGGCGGGGTTATTGTTATTATTATTGCTATGAGAGCGCTTGGCATTGGAGAAACACGAGATGAGAAACATTAGATGTAAAATGAAATGATAATGAAAGGGGGCGATCTTGGTAAATAAGATATCAAACATTCTCGAACTTTAATTATGATTAGTATATCCAATGTTCATCTCCCATAGTTCAAATCTACCTTTCCAATTCCTCTTCCATGCATGTCGAAAAGATAACAATTCAAAAACGCCCTTCCTCTGCTCTCGGTAGTGGTCTATTGTACAGGTTCGATACTAAATATGAGATCCCCCCGGTGCAATTTGTATACGTTCTTCATACATTTTGCCTATTCAACGGCAGTTGTTGAGGTTGGCTTTGGTGCATACATTCTAAATTGAAGGAAGATAACTGCATCTTCAACAATCGTTCCCAAAGATCCGATGAGCCATGGGGTATTAATGATGAGATATTCTTTCTCCAATGAATGGAAGAGAATACCCGCACCATATGTTAGATTTCCCATCAATGAGAGGAGGAAGAAAAGAAGTGCGAGACCTGTGGTGATTAGCTCAAGGTATTGTAGGAGGACCAAATGAAATCGCATACCATCACAAGACTTTTCCTTGTAGTTTTTCAAGATTTGAGGAATTCGAGCGCTTGATGATCTAGTTAGCACTCATCCTTTGACCTTCTCTTCTCATGAGACAACTCACCCAAGGTAACAAATTGCACTAAAGTATCCTAGTACCTCTGCTCCAACAGCAACTTCGTTTGTCTTAGGAAGATCACCTCCATTTTCTGGTGTAGGCGTCCAGACACCACTTCTCCAAGCAATAGCCCATCCAGCTGTTCCAGCAGCAATAACCAATAAAATGCTGACAATATTCTTCACCCAAGCATTTGCATCTGGTGAATCATCCTCTTCCAAAATCTTGGTCAAGGTATCTTCATGACGTTGACTTCCACTCATGGCTGAGGAGCGCCTCCTATGAGATCCTGGAAGTCCAATATTACTGTTACTTCGTCGACGGGCAAGAAGAGGATCTTCTTCAGTCGGGACAATGGTGTCCGCTTCTTGGCGTTTCTGAGCATTGATTTTGTTGTAGTATAAACATTGTGAGATGAGTACAAAGTCCGCAATGCAGAAATAGATGGCTAGAACAGTTACGGTGGGGACAAGATCTGCCCAAATTGCACCTGAAGACGAGTCAATGTACGCACGTGACCGTCGAAGAATGAGATCTTTGATAGACCAGTGGGTAGGTTGGAACAAGAGCCATCCATATCAAATCATGGTTTGAAGGCCACGACATGATTGATCAGATCGTGCGACCTTCCTCATAATCCATCTTCTCACTTACCAGCAAGATTCGCAACATCGCCAATAAACCAGACCGACAAGAAAGCCAATGATACTCCATCGGCACTCTGCGAGCGATAGTTCAAAATAAGTTGTGGTACCTAGAATGATCGAATCACATCAGTATAAGGATTCATGACCCAATACTATACTAGAAGAATTCCAAACTGGATACGGAGGTGTGACGAACCAACAAGAAGATCCAAGTTGCTAAGCTGATACTTCCAAAGATGCCCGATAACGCTTCTTGGACGGATAAATCGTGTGATAAGGACAATAACGACATGATGATGCCTGTGAATTAGATTTGTGTATTTTTGATTTGCATGTAGTTTGTGGGCATTGATGAGATTGATGTGATTGATGAGATTGATGAGATCGATGATA